AGAAATCTGTATTAGAAAGTGTCTAAGATGTGCTGAGATGGCTCTGTGAGACTTAGTCCTGCTGCAAGGTCTAGAGGGTGTATTCAGGGAATGGTCAGCCCATACGTGATGTGCTCTTGGAAGTGACTTGACAGTCCCTTGGAAACCTCTCATTTGAACACTTCTATGTGGTTCCCAGAGAAGTAAGGCATCATCAGTTGAACTAGCAGCTCCAGCGTTAGACTGTGTAAGAGGTAGGTGTATGACTGAGTGCTCTGGCTTTCAGTATTTCTTCAGCATTTTTCTAGCACATGATATACACCAAGACAACAAATCTCATAAATTTGTAAATTTCTAAGGAGTAAGAGGCCAAACACAGATTACATTTCAGGATAGGAAAAAAGAAAAGAAATACTTACATCAGCTGCAGTAGGAAGCCTCTTGCACCACATGTGCATTTTTGAAGCTTGGCTGTTTTCTTTCACTGTTTTTGCTTCTTTCATATGACAAAGAGAGGCGGTGAGAGTGTCTACATCTAATGCTGGGATTTTATGAAGACATTACCTACTGAGTGCTGGCTGTGGCCATTCTCCTGGGTGCTTACCCCTTTGCTGACTGCACAGGGACAAAAGAATCCTGGTTCCCAAACCCCAGGAAAACACCAAGGAAACAGGGAGGGCATGACTTACTGGTCTTCTTGATGCAAGCTTGCTAGAAGACTTTACCCCATTAATCTCACAACACCTGTATGTGAGACAGCTGGACCTGATGTCTGAGATTCCCGAATGGATCTTAGGAGAGACCTAGCTTTCAGAAAAGTCTGGGTGTTGGTGCTCTACTGGGGCAATGCAGATAGATACACCAAGCACTGTCTGGTGGTGCTGAGGATGGTGGTTCCTGGGAAAGGATCTGCCATGGAGTTCTGGGACAACTGGTCCCGGCCGGGTGGTGAAGAGCACCCTGGGTGACAGCACCCATTCCCAAAGCACTGATTGTGTCAGACCACAGAGCAGTCATGATCCTCTGTCCAGGGAAACAGAGAGAGAGGCCATATAAACCACCGAGTTGAAAGAGGAACTGCCCAGGAGAGCTGCAAGAGCAAAGGGAGCCAGGACTCTGGAAGCCTGAGGCCATGAGCTGGAAAGAGGAGCTTGGTGGTGGCAGGAGCAAGCCAGATTTGGGATTATGGCCCAAAACAAGGAGTGCCCAGGGAGTTCCCTCCCATACCCAAAGACCCTGCCTGGCCTAGCCAGGGGCAGGAAAAAATCTTCTCCATTCAGTTCCAGGAAGACCCTCTTACCCACAGTACTGTGTGCACTGTCCATCTTGAGGCACTTCACATCCTAGAAGGCACTGAGAAAGTGGAGCTCAGAGCAGGGTAGCAGGAAGAGTTTGGAGGAGAAAGGAAACGAACCCTGTCTGGCTGGTTCCAGAGCCTGTCAGATATGGAAGGTCTGTTGGTGGGGTTCAACAGCAGTATTGTTGTAGCTGGGTCAGTTCAAGGTAATAAGTAGAGAGATTTCAAGTCAAAAGTGATGCATGATGAGAGCACCCGGGGGTGGGCTTGGGCAGGTGAACTAGGGGTGTTTTCCTCAATATCCACCACTGGATCTGGAGGGATAGAGGAGTGAGACAGACCTGAGAAGGTTTTGGGGGTGTTTGTGGGAGCCGGGCTACAGAGGCCTGAGGTAGCCAGCAAAAAGGCTGGACCAAGGCACCCAAGAGACCTCGTTGAGCCTTGTCCTGCTGTCTGTGGGCAGACGGGTGAAGAGCAACTCTGCGGCCAGCGGGATGCTCTCTTTCCAAAGGGGAAGCTTCTCATACCACATGTGATTTCACTGCGTGGGTGTTTCATTTCTTTGTCTGCACCTCTGCTGCGCTGGGTTACACAGATACCTTCCTCGAGTGGCTCAGGCTGAGTCCTGCCCAGGGACTTCATGCCAGCATGGATCTGCAAGAGATGGCTCTGGCCTTTTTCCTGGTCCTTGCCCCTTTGCTGCTTGCGTGGGAACAGGAAGACCCTGGTCAAAGCAGAGTCAAGGAAGCAGGTAAGAACAGGTTGTGCCTCTTACAGAAGAGGTTTTGCTGCTCCTTCCTGCACATTTGCTACGTGGCTTTAGCCTGTTCAGCCCATGGTGGCTGTGCTGTGGAGGGCTGAAGCTGGTCTCTGCATCAGTCCTGAGACACAAGGGCACCTGTTGGGTTGTGATAGGGCGAAGCTCTGGAGATGGAGGGCAGCAAACCTCGGTGTGCTGGGAAAGCCTCCATGAGCATGGGAGCTGCAGTGTCCCTCCGGGGAGCGGGCAGTGTCCCTGGGAGCAGGAGGTGACTGGTCCTTGTTGTACAATCGACAGACAAAGCCAGGGCAATCAGAGCAGCGGTGGCCTTCCTGGGTCAATCTGGGCAGTGTCCCTGTTGCAGAGGAAGGCGGTGGTGATGATCAGCAAAGATGTGGGGAGCTGTGAGATGAATGCCTGTATTAGCTAGGATGCGGACTCTCTCCTGTAGTCCCTGGGGTGGGGGGAGCTGCAGTTCAGTGGGATTGTTCTTTAGCAGCATTGTTCTGTTCTTTCTCTGTGCCAGGAGGGCTCGGAGCACCTCCTGGGTCTCTGCTGGGCTCTTCCAAAGGAGACTGTGGGCTTTCCTATGGGAGACTGTGTGCTGTGTCCTGCATGTTGCTGATACCTGTTGAGGTCCCCATGGGGCACAGAAGGAGCGGCTGCTCTTTTCACCAGGGCCTAGGGGGGCCTGAGGTATGAGTCAGTTTCTGTGCAGGGAAATGGGAGCAGAAGTGGCTTGCCAAGTCATTGGATGGGTCATGAGTCATGTTACCCATCGCTGGTGGCTGGAGGGATGCTGCCCTTCCAGCAATGGGCAACCCTCAGCTACCCAGGGCAGGATGGAACCTGTTCCCCTCAACTCAGCAGCACCTCCGGCCCCCTTCTCCTCTTCCTCACAGCCCATCCCTGAGCAGCCCTCTCAATAGTCACATCCCTTCCACGGCCTGAGGAGTCCCAGGTGGAGGAGTCTGTGGTGGGCTTGGTAGAGGCGTCGTCTCTGAGCGGCCGGGGGGAGATTTCTTGGATTTGTGTCTGCAGAAGAGGTGTGGGGCACCAGTTTGAGGTTCTGGTCATCATCCTTTACTGTGCTGCTGCTGTCTGCAGCACCAAGGGAGGCTGTTGGGGTCTGGATTATGGGTATCGCAGCAGAGCTGCAGGCAGGAGCAGAGCTTGCCTCCCCTCCACCTGCACCACAAAGAAAGCCCTGGTGCCAAGCCAAGCCCCGGCAAGGGCTTTTGCTGCAGTCGGTGCTCTTCAAGTGTCATCAAGAAATCATGTCCACTGTGGACATATGCTTTTTTCATTTTCTCTCTGTGTCCTGTGTCTTTGCTGTTCAGGGATAGCCATCAACATCTGAATGACCCACATGCATTTTCTAGACCACACCTAGACAACAAAGGCTCGTGTTACTTGCTGACAGTGCCCATGGCCCAGTTTTGCTGACCTTCCCCTCGCCACTGAGGTCTGCAGGCAACAGCCTCGTGCTCCGATTGCTCCCACTTGCTACATCCCCTCTTGTGCCTTGGCCCTGCCAGCTGTTTCCTTGCTGGTTCTTGTTGATTTCTACTCCCTTAGGAATGTAACTTGCTTGTCACTGTGTGCTCTTGCATTGCAGGTCATCGTCAGCCTCCTCACTGAGCCAGGCTGTGCTCTTACTGCATCCTCAGTCCTCCTTCTGTGTAGGGTGTTTCTGCCTAGCCTTACAGATTGTAGAGCATCCTGGGGACAGCCAGCCTTTGGAACCTGTTTCCTGACAAGTACCAATAGGAAAAAAATGTGCCTCCCCACAGGTGGAAACCCACTCTTTGAAGCGTGGCTCATTTTCCTGCAGCAGAAGGATTTCTTCCTCACTGGCTGGTGTCCCTGGTCAAATGTTTGGTGCTGGGCAGGTAGCCTGGACTCTGCTGGGTGGGACGGAGCCTGGATGTCACCCTGGGGCAGGAGTGTGAGGGTGCATGCACTGCTTCAAGGAGGGTTAATAACGGGAGGGGGGAAGGTGCGTGCTAGTGATGCCTAATTGGGCTCCAACCAAGTCAAGGGTTTCGGGTATGTCAAGGCTTTTGGCTGTCACAGGAAAGTGTGTGATCTGAGAGTGCTGGGAGGGGTCCAGCTGTGGGGGAAGAAGTTTCCTGTCTGGACAACACATGTGGTCTCAAAGGCTGGCCACTGTCCTTTGCGGTGGAGCACCAGGGTGCAGGGTGAAGAAGATGGCATGAAAACCTGCTACCAGATAAGGGAACTGTGGTGATGCCTCTGTTCCTGTGTAAGGGAGTGCAGCCCCATGTGTGTTGGCTGACAAGAAGCAAGTAGCTGTAGAGATGCATGTAGCTGAAGAGAGGTATTTCTTCCTAATTTAGGGGAGTCACTTTGCACTGGGTGAGCAAGTCTTGGGTGACACGTCTACCAGGGCAGGACAAGGCAGGCTCATTTTGGGTGAAGTGCACAGAAAAGGCTGGGTGCACAGAGTGGGCTGTGAGCTTTGTGGCCAGCTCTGTGAGCTTGGATGTGGAGGTGTGAGGGCAGGCTGTTGGTGCTGGCAGCTGCCTCGTGGGGCCAGGTTGGGAGGGTGTGCAATGACAGCAGAGGCTCACTGGTTCTGGTGCACTGCCCCAGCCCCTTGTCTTTGGGGGAGGGAGTGCAGGAGAGAGCAGCACCCACCTGGCTGCTGGATCCTGCTGGCTGGGATCCCCCCGCAGCCGTGGGTGGGCAGGAGGGCCAGGGTTAGGGTTAGGGTTAGGGTTAGGGTTAGGGGTTAGGGTTAGGGTTAGGGTAACCCTAACCCTCCCGCGCCGTGCCTGAGGGTGCAAGGGGCGTTAACGCACCTGGGGCCTGGGGTCTCATCCTGCGAGGTGCTCACCCCTGCCACCCCTCTGCAGGGAGGGGGACCAGCACCCCTCCGGACGAGGACGCTGCCGGAGCCCGGCGATCCTCAGGGCTCTCCCTCATGTCCTTTGCACACAGGAAGATGTAAAGCTCCCTCCGACTGGGACCCCAAGCTGCAGCTTACCCCGCAGCAGAGCAGCTATGCCGTGAACGACTCGGTGCAGCTGAGCTGTGCTGGCGACTATGTGCCATCGGTCCCCCAGATCAGATGCATTTCCAGCGGGACCCAGACGTTGTGGGACGGGACTGCCACCTGCAAGGGTAAGCACCGCCCCGCATCACCCTGACCCGGGGTTCTGAGCTGGTGGCAGACCCTCTGTGACATGGTCGTGCTTCAGCCCCACCTGGGTGACAGGCCAGGCACTGGGGACCTGGATGCTTTGGCTTTCCTGCCCTGTCCTGGCAGTGCCAGGGCATCTTTTATCTCAGCACCTTGCTGTGGGCAGCTGCCGGGATCTGTGCTCCTGGGGAGGGGTTCAAAGGCAGGAACCATTCCTGGCCGGTGTCTTCTGTCTCCAGATCGAGAGCTGGAGCAGTGAAGCTGGAAGGAAGAGAAGTATCTGGAGGAGTTCATCTTGAGGCTTTGGCACTCTGCACTGCTTGTTTCCCTGTGAAGCTTCTCTGGGGTTTGAGGGAGCTCTGGTGGGGGAGGGTGTCACTGCTGCACTGCTCACCTGGGCATGAAGGGGGCCAAGAGAATGTGGTCTCAAGCACCCCGTGGGTGGAACCCAGGGGAGGCTTGGGAGACCTGGAGATAGGGGTGACAATTAGCCCTGTGCCCCTGAACAGCTCCTGGGCATGTGGTGGGAGTAGAGGGATCCTTGTGTGTGTCAAAGTGAGTGGTCAGAGTCATGGGGAGGAGACACCTGCCTCAAGCCTCTTCTTGTCACCTCCCAGAAATACTTGTCACCCAATTTTACCTCTCACAGAAATATGCCAAAGGCCTATTTGGTGGGACCCAAGACTCCAGATGGCACCCGTCCGTGGGAATTACAAAAGGAATGAAGAAGTGACTCTGAGCTGCAACAGTGGTTTCCAGCCATCCTTCACCCATGTCAAATGTGCAGGGGGAGCTCAGTCATTGAATTATTCTGGATCTCTAAATGGAGATGTGTGGCTGGGGAGGAAAAACAGTGATGCCTGGATCCACATTGAGGGGAACATAGTGTGCATCGGTAATCAGCGTGTCAGGAGGTGCCTCTTATGGAGCTCCATGGTCAAATCCTGTCCAATTCATCCATCTCTGAGCTTGCATTATCATCACTGTGGCCAGAGATGCACTTCTGATGCCTGACTGGGGCCACTCAGATTTCTCTGTTTTTGATATCTGAGACCATCCCCCCACTGAATGCTGGCACATTCTCATCCATCATCTGCCTGGGCAGGCCCCAGCCCCAGCTGACATTCACCCACAAGGACAGCCCCATCCCAACAAACCTTGCCAAGGGGGTCACATCCTGGCAGATGGATGTGTCACCTTTCCTCTCCCTTCAGGGACTGGAGGGATTGCTAGGGATTGCTGATACTCCACCACATACCTCTGCCCCTCCTTGAAACCTCCCACCCCAACTAACACCCACTTTCATTTCTGCCAGAAACGTGCCAAAGTCTTCACTGGGGCCGAGGACTTCAGCTGGCACCAGACCAGAAGAATTACAAGAAGAACGAGGAAGTGACGCTGAGTTGTCCTGAGGGTTTCCAGCCGTCCTTCACCCATGTCAAATGTACAGGAAAAGTCCTGTCCATCAGCAACGGGAAACCTGTATACAGAGAAGCTTGGAATGGAAGGGACAGCAGAGGCAGATGGATCAACATTCAGCCCACGTTCAGAGTGGAGTGCATCGGTAAGGCAGGCATCAGGAGCTCTCCTGGCTGCCCTGCTCTGCCCTTCCTGAGCAAGGGAAGGCAGGCTGTGTGTGCACGGGAGGTTTCAGGCTCTCTGCTCGCCTGGGGAAGTGGTAGGTGTTGCTGAAGGCCGTGTTGAGGCAGCCCCTGAGCCTGACCTGTGCCCTGGGGCTCCGGGGAGCCTTGGTGAGGAGGGAGATGGTGCCAGCCTCAGTCCCTGAGGGTCCTGCAGGAAGGGGCTTTGGGATCAAGGTGGGGGGAAGTGGCCAGAGCTGCTCATGCCAGGACATGCAAGGAGCCTGGTGTGCAGGGTTCCAGACTGTGGTTCACGGGTGGCTGGGAGGTTCCTGATGGAGGTGTGTGGGTGACATGGGTCTGCCTGAGACTTTCTGGAAAGAGCATGTGTAGAGAAGGTGAGGGCTACAGTGCTGTAGGTCTGATAGGTGTTTGTGGCATAGGTGTCCAAAAGCATTGCTTTGGGGCCTGGGGGATCACCGGACTCTGCTCCCTTTGTCCTCTCTGTCCATGCAGGCAGAGCAGAGGCCTTGCCTTCATGTGCCGGTGTCCCCTCCACTCTCTGCTGCATGCCATCACTGCAGCAGCCAGCTTTTGGGCTCAGGATTTATTGCCTTCTCAGAAGGACTTGGGGTGGTGTTGTCCTCTGTGAGGGACAAACAGGGCACCAGGGTCAAACGCTGGTCCACCAGTCTCTGTGCAGGCTTTGTGCATATTATGAGCCCCTCACGGGTGCCCCCCAATCCCTGGAGATCCAGCTCCATCACAGGGCCCTTCTCGTCCTCATCCCCTTGCCAAGGATGTGGTGCAGGAGAGCTGCCCTATGTGGTGTCCTGGAGCTCCATCCCTTGCCCTGTTGTGCCAGGGAAGGGGATCCCCTGCTCCATCCCTGCCATGGCCTGCAGGGCCACCCTCTACCCTGCTAATGCCTTCTCATATAATTGGTTCAGAGAAATGCCAGAAGCCCCAGTGGGACTCCAGGTTTATTTTTGACCAAGAATGGGGGACCTTCAACCCAAATGAAGTGGTGAAGATGAGATGCCCTGAGGGGCACTGGCCTCCCCCCATGGAGATCAAATGTGTGAGGCTCAACCCAAGGGACAGCTCCACGATTCCTCGGAGCGGCTGGTTTGTTAGGAACGGCACAGCCCGCTGGCACCGTTTGGAGGGGAACTTGACCTGTGTGGGTAAGTGAGTGAACCATCCACTCTCCCAGTGCTCTCAGTCTGTTCTCTCCGTTCAGGGAGAGTGGTGCTGCCTGTGTCCCACAGCGTTAGTGCCCTGTGCTCGGGGTGGTCAGGGCATGTCATGGAAATTCCACTCCAGGGAAAACTGCTGCTGCTGCATCCCAGGTTTGTGTCTGTGCTGTTGGCAGCTGGGGCACCCTGTGCTGCACCAAGGGGGACAAGTCCTTGCCACGGCACGTAGGATGCCAGACAGCTTGCCCAGACCAGCTAGGTAGGTCTGCCTGGAGAAGAGCACAAGAGTCCAAGAGCAGGAGCGCAGGACCCTGCTCTGTCTGCTGGGTTTGTTGTCTAAGTCACTGTTGGTATGAAAGGGCCCAGACAACAGATCAGTTGCTAGCCCCGGAGTGACAGCTGCAGAGAGGCCACAAGTACTTGCTCTTACCCTCCCACAGTCGCTGAAGCACCCAGAGTACCCCTGTGAATGGTCCAGGGCCAGAGGAAGGTGCAGGCAGTGCCTGAGCATAGTCTGGGAGAAGGTGGGATGGTCTGTCCACACTGTGCTGGGGACAGGCTAGGGAGGGAACAGTGTGGGATGACAGAGTTTGACTGCAAAGCTTGGAGGGAAAGGGAAGGGGGTGACTCTCTTGCAATGATTCCTTCACAGATATCCTCCAGGTTGTTCCTGGGACCTTGGAGATCTCCAGCACCAGCATCAAACTGAACTGGACCTGCAGGCTCCCTGACGCCTGCCAGCACGTTTGGGCCAGGTGCCGGCTGGAAGAACATTCCTCCCCTCCCTGTGAGGCTGAGGAGGTGAAGGGAGAGGAGATGCTACGTGGCCAGGAGGGAACATTCACCTGCCCCTCTCTGCAGCCTTTCACTGTCTACAGTGTCACCGTCTCACTGCCCCCCAGCACAATCCTGTACACACGGCTCCTCAGGACAAAGGAAACGGGTGCGTCTACATGAAATGCAAAGGTGCCCTTTGCTGGCAGCTCAGCCCAAGCATCTGCTCCCTGCGGTGATGGTGCTGGGATCAGGGCTGTTTGGAGCCTGTGGGGCTCTGGGGAAGGAAGGGGACGTGCAGGGCCCTGGAGCACAGCACGTCCCCTCTTCACCCTCCCCGTCCCCACCACACCATCGCTGCTGCTGCAGCACAGGCAGCCTTTGTGGGGGACAAATCCTGCTTGGGGGGTCCCTCTGTGGCCTGTTCCCTGGGCCAGGAGCTGCCTGTGCTCTGCTCTGGGCTCAGCCCCTCTTTGCCGACACCACGTGTGACCCCGTCCTCCTGTGCTTCCAGTGCCGGACAAACCGGAGAGGCTGTGGCTGGATTCCACCACGGGGTCCCTCAGGTGGAAGGCTCTGCCCCCCTGCAAAGGAGAAATCATCGGATACCAGGTACCAGGGGACCACGGGCTGTCCATGGTCCCCCCCACCTTGCCAGACACTTCCCTGCCTGGAGTTCTGTGCAGGCAGCCTGGGGAAAGTGGTGTAAGCCCTCCTCAGTCGGGGCCCACCAGCTCTACACTGCTGGTGTTTCTGGTGGCATCAGGTCCCCCACCAGGAACAGCCTCTCTCCACAGAGCTGCCTTGAGCAGGAGCAGGAGGTTGGTGCTGCTCCCCACCAGCTCCCTGTCCTTCCTCTAGCTGAACATCACAGCCTGGAGAGCGCATGATGACAGCTTCCTTGAATTCAAGCAGGTGTTGGTGAACCAGTCTGTCACTCAGTACACGCTTCTTCATCAGACACCTGGAAGCAAATACACGGTGACAGTGCAGGGCCTCACGGTGGCTGGTGCTGGGGCTGCGTCACTGCTGGAATTTCAAACCTACATCTCTGGTAATGGTGGTTCTACCCTGGGTCTGGCTGAGGTGGCCTCCTTAGGAGTGAGCGCTGAGCCTGGAGCAACTTCCAGGGCTCTTTGTGCACCCATCCTGTCCCCACCAAGACAGAGGCAAGGAGTGGGTGCACCCTGAGAGCCCGACTCAGCAGTGGGGGCCTTGGGGCTGGGTGAGTCCTGCTTCGAGGCAGTGCATGTGAGAGCAGAGCTGGCCTCTCCAGTCTTCCACTAAAGAAGATGATACTCACCCCTGAAAACGGGTGTACTAGGGGCTCGAGGTCAGACAGCACTAGTGCTGCTGAGCCTGGGTTTGTGTGTCCTCTTACTGTGTGCAGCCTAGTTGAGTGGGCTTCCCAATCCCCTGGTTGTGTATGGGAGATGGGGCAACTCCCTGTGCTCCAGAGCCTCCCTCTACCCTGCCCTGCCCAGCAGACACGAAGGCAGGGGAAGACTGTGCCTCACTGCCTCTCCCTGCAGCAGCCAGGACAGCAGAGCCTGGGCACACATGTCTACACATATGTACACACCGACCTACACATATGCACACACCCAACGCCGAGGTTGGGGCCATTGCGGGCGCATGGTCCGGGCCGTGGCACCCACTCCTGGCTGTGTGTTAGTTGCAGGGCAGCCTCTGGGCCTGTGGCCAGGGTCAACAGTCACGGTAGTGGTGGTGGTGGTGGTGGTGGTGGTGCTGGTCCCACTGTCTGCAGGGATCCTGTGGTTCATGTGGTCCAGGTGAGTAGGCAGGAGGCTTGGAGTCGCTGCTCTGCCTCAGGCCATGCTGTGCTGTGGGGTGGCTGGGATGGAGAGGGGATTTCCCCAGCTGCTCCCACCCTTCTTTTGGCACAGAGGATGCAGCTGGCTGGTCCTACCATAGCTCAGCTGGCTGGGGCTCAAAAGCATCCTTCTCGGGACCGTGTGTGCTAAGAGACCCCCTCCCTTGTTGCTGCCACTGCCGTTGTCCCCTGGGGTGTTGATGGGCAATGCCTGCCAGCTCATCAGAGGCCCAGATGGAGGGTGTGCAGATCCCTCCATGCCTCTGCCGCTGCATTCAGCAGGGCCCTGGGCCAGGTCCACTTCTTCCCCAACTCAGGACTGCTCTTTGACTTCCCAGGAGAAGAAAAGCCTTGCCCCGCAAAGCTGAGGAGGATCACTACACAGGTAGGGTCCTCTCATGGTTTAAATCCATCTGGCAGCCAAACACCCCACAGCCACTCTCTCCCCACCTGGGGAATAGGGGAGGGAATTGGAGGGGTAAAGGAAGACTCACAGGTTGAGATAAAAACAATTTAATAATTGAAATAAAATAAAACAACAACAATCATAGACAGTACAAACAGGTAATGCACAGTGCAATTGCTCACCACCCACCCACTGATACCCAGCCTGTTTCTGGCCAGCGATCTTGAAATACCATGATCCCGCAATCACAATCCCAGAAGTGAGAGGGAACCCACGCCTTCACAGCCACCCCTCCACTATATACTGAGCTGGATGTTACATGGTATAGAATGGTTCACTGGCCAGTTTAGGTTCAGTGCTCTGGCCGTGCTCCCTCCCAGCTTCTCATGCACCTGCACACAGGCAGGACGTGGGGAGTTGGAGAGTCCTTGATCTCTCAGCAACAGCTGTAAACGTCAGTGTGTTATCAGCATTCTTCTCATACCCAATCCCATACTGAATCCAAAACACAGCACTATTCTAGCTGCTAAGAAGAAAAATTAACTCTATCCCAGTCTAAACCAGAGCAGGTCCCCATCACAGAGAGGGCTGTAGGGCTGGGGTTGGAGCTGGGAGGGGAGCAGGTCTATTTCAGGAGAGCCTGTTGCCATCCTGTGGTGGCTGCAGGCAGCCCAGCTGGCTCTGACTGACCTGCCAGAGCAGCGCGTCCCACATTTGATGTGTCCCACATCCCCAGCCGAGACCCTCCTCTGGCTGCCTCTTCCAGCTGTGCTCCCCCCACAGTGCCCGTGAGGGTTGGGAGCTGCCCCTCAGTCTTTCTCTGCCAGTGGGAGGAAGCACCTCTGCCCAGTCCTGCTTCCCTGCCCAAAGTGCGTGTCCCAAAGTACCCTCCAGCCCCCATTGCTGCTGCCTGCCTGGGTCAGCCCTGCTCCTTCCCCCCATGGTCCCTGGGTCCCTCAGGCTGTTTCTGTCATCCCCTACCCCAGATCTCCAGCCCTATGAGAACCTGGATAATTACTGCGTGATCAAGGAGACTCTTCTGGCAGAAGAAGAGGCAGGTAGGAGATGGATTGCCCTGCCTGTGCTCCCACATGCGGCAAGGAGAGGGTGAACAGTGGCTGCTGTGGCAGCCTGAGCTCCCCACTCTGCCGAGGGCACGCAGCAGCCTCTGCCCTGGGTGCCCTTGGTCTCTGCAGGTAAAGGTGGCCAGGCTGGAGAGCGGTTGCCCAAGCCCCTGCCTGTTCCTGCGGTCCTAAGGAGACAGTCGGCGCAGTGAGGGAGAGGAGAAGATGGGGTGGACGTCTGAGGCTCAGTGCTGATGACACTTCCCATAGTCCCTTCTCAAGGCTCGGTCCTCCAACATTGGAAGCAGGACCTTGCATAGCTTGTGCTGGCTTATTGTTCCCCCTCAAACTTGCTCCCTCATCAAGCTCCAGAATCCTACGACACAGAGCAGGTGCAGCCCAAGGCCTGGAATGACCTGTTTGTACCATGAAGAAAGTGTTCTGGTAGTCCTCCAGTGCTCTGGGAAAGCCATTTCACCTGCATCCTGGTGCCTGCAACTGTCCTCTGAGACTGAAACAGCTCTCTGGGTCTCAATCTATCTTTCCCAGCTCCGTATCTCCATATCCATCTAGACCCCAGCCTCTGCTTAAGTTTGGCCCAATCGCACTGCACTTGCAGCTGTGCTGCTGTGTCTGGACAACCAATAAATTTTTCTTTTGCAGGGCATGCCTGCCACATGACGTCTCCCACCTTGTTGTGGTTCCTCCCTGTTTCGTGTGTGAAAGGTCTGTCCCTATAAATCTTCATGGAGGAGCTTGGACTGGACTTTTCCAGCTCCTGGCAGCCCCGAGGAAGCACATCTGAGAAGCTGCATGCTCCCAGATCAATGCTTCGGGTTGCTGCTTTCCCTCCTCCCCATCCTACAAGTAGCACAGTCTCAACTAGGCCTGGCTGGAACTCTTTTTCATTCTGTGACTCTCTTTGTGGGTGTTGGTGCTTGTCTCCCACTTTGTGAGGTACAGCTGACCCTGGCCTTTTTGGGAAATACCCATCTTGCAGTCTTTGGGATCTGCTTGGTCTTGACTGCTGCCGCAACACAGCCTCCAGCAGCCACTGCCGCTCCTGGTCCGAGGGATGATGGTGCCCAATGCAGCCTGGAGGTTGAGGGACAGCCTGAAGGCTCTCCTTGGTGAGGAGAACACTGCCAGGAGATGGGGCAATCAACCACTCTCTTCTCCAGCCGTTTTTTTTAGCCTGGGATGACGTGCATGTGCCAGTAAAGACATGCAGTCTTTCATTCATATGAGCTGTCTGGTCATCATCACGGTACCTGCAACTGGTCCCTGGGACCGAAGCATCTCCTTCCCATGGACTTTAGTTGGTGTGACCTGCATGCTCAGTGGAGCTGCTCTCAATGGGTATTGGTCAGAGAGGGGAAGAGGGAGCTTAACCCCACGTGGCAGCTGCTGACTGAGAAAGGGGAACGTTCAGGGCTGGCATATGTGGAAACAGAGGGATGGTTTGTGCTCCTGCCACCTCCTGGGTTGCCCTGCTCCCCACTCCCTATCCCCATATCCAGCCAGACGCTGGGCTGATAGCCTCGTGACTCTGCCTGCTCTGTCCAGACAACCAATAAAGACTTGTGGTTTGGAGGGGGCTGCCAGCACCCCCCCTCCCCAGCTCCTGCCTCATCCCCTCATTGCCCCTGTGGGGTACTGAGCTAACTGCACCTTGCTGAGGGGAGGCCATGAGCAGGGCTGCGGTGGCCAGGAGCTGTGGCTGACAGCCTCCCCAGGCCCTCAGGGCTGTGCTGGGCAGCTCCGACACGCGTTTGGACGGGGTGTGTGTTGGGAACCAGTGAGTGATGGTGCTCACCCCCGTTCATCCTGGGCAGGAGCATCTCCTGTGCATGTGCTGTGGGCAAAAGCTGAGGGACAAGCACAGCCTGTTTTCCTCTGCAGCCCCTGTGTTTGATCACACAGCCCTTTGGGATCTGAGACATCCCAGGTGGGTCCATGGGAGGTTCTGGAGGAAGAGAAAAGCAGAAGCTGCTAAGGAGCAAGGAAGATGGTTTAGTTTCTCTGAGGGTTTCCTCAGGCTCTCAGCTGACACTGGAGGTCAGGGTGGTCTGCACACCTGGGGACAGAGGAGAGTGTTGCCAGTCTGAGGGGGAGGAAGAGGAGGCAGCTGGACATGGAGGAGCGGGGAAGGATGAGAGAGGGTGTGGGTTGAGTGTGGCTTTCAGAAGGGCCAAAGACTGTTTCAGACCTTGAGGTGCTCCTTGCAGCTCACATCCCCATTCCTACCCCTGCTTCTTGCCAGCTCTTTATGTGCTTTCTCAGAGGTCCTCCATCTCCTGTGATCACTGAGGGGAAGTGCAGTGAGTCATCACCACTCTAAAACTCTAAAACCCACGCAGGGGCTTTTGGAAGCATAAGGATATTGCCACAGAAATAGGAGCAGGAAATGAATGCACTCTGGTAACTGAAAGGGTTTTGGGGGAAAAGTCTTGGATCTTGGTGACAGGGGTTCTTCTGTTGAGTACCAGCCCGTGGGGAAAAAAGGCAGCAAAAAACAGCAGTACTGATGCTGATGGGAGGCTCCCTCCCCAAAAAGGAAGCCTCTCTCATGAGATTTCTCCATGTGTCTGTTTCCTTCCTGTGGTTGCAAGACTTGCAGTCAGTTACCGATGACTTGGCTCGGAGGCAGCCAGTGAGGCTGAGATTGGAGTCCTGCCTGGGGACTTAATGCTAGCATGGCCCTGCAGTTGCCATCTCTGAAGTTTCTGCTGGTCCTTGTATCTCTGCTGGCAGCACAGGGCCAAGAAGATCCCAAGGTCCAAGGAGTACCCTCAGAAACAGGTAAGAAGCAGCTCCTTCTCTTCCCTGGAGAGATTTTGATACCCTTCCTCCTGCAAGTTTGATATGCATCTTTACTGCCTGCAGCCTCAGGCTGGAGCCCCGGTGGCTCTGAGGGCTGTGTCAACCTGGGTGCCTGCAAAAGGGAAATTATTGCTGCTTTGCCAGCTAGGTGCCTGTGTGTGGGGAGCAGCTGGGTGCCTGTACATGGGGTAGGTTGTGGCTGTGCATCAGTGGGACACGATTTCTGGTTGAGATACTCAGCTGAGCATCTCTTGCTGTCTGCAGTCAGGGTTTGAGATCAAAGATAGATGACTTGTTCACCGGCATGTCTGTACTTTGTAGCTGTTAGAAGATGGTTTGAACCTTGTAAGATCCCTTTTCTGCCCCTTTGGGAGAAGGAAGATTGTATTTTAAGCACTTTGAGGCCTCTCAAAGCCCCTTGCAGAGACTGGAAGAGGGAGATGCTCCTTCTCAGCTGCCAGCATCTTTGTAAGAATCATAACTACAAAGCCTCTCCTCACAGCACTCAGCAAACTGCTGGGACAGGATGTGCCTGCTCAGCCCCAAGGGTGGTGAATGTGGTGAGGAGGGGTTGTAGAGGAGGAACCAAAGCCTGTGGCAGGGAAAAGGGGCGGGGGCTGTGATAAAGCAGGGGATGTGAATGGAGAAGGCATTGCTCGTACCCATGTCCCACTGCACAGTGATGTGGGGCAGGAGGAGAGTAGCCGAGGGACTGACTGAGCTAGCACAGGGACCCCAAAATTGTAACAGGGGCATCTCTGATCCCTGTGGGAGGGATGAATCATGGCTGGAGAGACATTCATCCCAGTAGGGCTGGTGGTCCCATGGCCCAGAAAGGGCAGCCTGAGCTGGGATTACTGACTTGTCTGAATAAGTGGCTGGAGGTGTTCTCCTAGTGCAGGGGTAATTGTCTCGGGAATCTCCCTGCTGTGGGCTGTGGAGGAGGGAATATAGTGTCCCCGGACACAAGGGTGGATGGGGGATGTTCATGGATAAGTGATAATTCATGCTTTGGGTACACAAGGAGAGCCCCCTCCCAACAAGCCTTTCCTGTGGGTCACCTTCCCTCTCCCTTCAGGGACTGGAGGGATTGCTGAAGAATTTCTCTCCCAACACCGGCCCATGTTCCACCTTGTCACCTCCCATCCCAACTAACACTCACTTTTGCCTCTGCCAGAAATATGCCAAAGACCCCGGTGGAACTCAAGACTCCAGCTGGCACCAGATCAGGAGAATTACAATAAGAACGAGGAAGTGACGTTGAGTTGTCCTGAGGGTTTCCAGCCGTCCTTCACCCATGTCAAATGTGCAAGGGAAGTCCAGTCCATCAGTCATGGAAAACCTGTATACAGAGAAGTTTGGCTCGGAAAGGACAGCAGAGGTGCCTGGATCCGCATTCGGTCCAATGTGGAGTGCATCGGTAAGGCAGGCATCAGGAGCTCTCCTGGCTGCCCTGCTCTGCCCTTCCTGAGCAAGGGAAGGCAGGCTGTGTGTGCACGGGAGGTTTCAGGCTCTCTGCTCGCCTGGGGAAGTGGTAGGTGTTGCTGAAGGCCGTGCTGAGGCAGCCCCTGAGTCCACCCTATGGTTAACCAGTGGGTGGGAGGATCTGGGTGGAGGTGTGGGCAATAAGGGTCTCCCTACGGGCTTCTGGCAAGAGCATGTGCACAGAGGAGAGAAGCATGGGAGAGCTATGTGTGGTGGAGTTAGCAGTCTGTATGGGTGTCGTGGTTGGGTCAGTAGGATGAGAGGGCTCTGCTGCCTGTGTCCTGTCAGATCACGCAGCTGTGAGTACCACAGCTTGCTCCCTGTAGGCTGGTCTCCTCCAGGCTCTGTGTCATGGTGGGCACAGGCTTGGCACCATCTTCTCACAGCCTGGGGCATGGAGGTCCCCTCCAAGGGAGAAGAGGGCAACAGTAGGCTGATTTGGGAACCCAGTGAGAGGGCCCTGAAGTTTTGAAAACAAGAGTCCTCTGTCGCCTTGCCTCACAGAGTGCCCTGAGATCTGGGCCACAGGAAGGGGGCTTGGGGCTGGTTCTCTGCAGGCAGCTGTGAGCATGGGTAGTATGGGGAGGTCTGTGCAAGGACAAGGGGATGCTTCTCCTGTGGCCCTCCCAGGGGACAGTTCTATGCATGGCCCAAGCTTTCAGAGTGCGCTGCCTGGTCCTTTTGGGTGTTTTGCTGACTTCATATGGCAGGTTCCTAAGGCACTGGCTTCTTAGACGATGCCACAAGGCACCAGCATCAAATACTAGTCCAAAATCACTGTGCAAGCTTTGTCCATCATATGAGCCCCTCATGGGTGTGCCAGTCCCTTGAGCTTCTGCTCCTCTTGGACTTTCTTGAGAGGCTTGGGGGAAGCAGCATGGGATCATTTTTCCTCCTCATCACCTTCCTGGGCATGTGGTATAGGAGAGCTACTCTGTGTGGTGTCCTAGAGCTCCATCTCTCACTATGCTGCCAGGGAAAATGAACTGTTCTCCTGATGTCTATGCAGAGCAGGACAGGGCTAGGTCTTTCTAAAGAGCAGCATCTATTGCACTGTAGAGATGCTGGGACCCACACACACCTCAGTTTTGACCCACGGAGGAAGATTAACTTGAGCAATAGTAGCCCACACATTCAGCCACATTCATTCCTGTCCAGACTCCTCCTGTTCCCCTGCCAGAGAGCTGGAGTGACCAGTTTCAGCCTCTCACTTTCCCTCCCACCCACATGGGTGGCGAGCAGGGCTGTCTGACTGCAGCACCCTTGCGAGGCTGGGAGGGAAAGGGAAGGAAGTGACTCTCTTGCAATGTTTCCTTCACAGAGGTCCTCCAGGTTGTCCCTGAGTCCTTGGAGATCTCCAGCACCAGCATCAAACTGAACTGGACCTGCCGGCTCCCTGACGCCTGCCAGCACATGCAGGCCATGTGCCGTCTGGCAAGGCCTTCCTCCCCTCCCTGTGAGGCTGAGGAGGTGAAGGGAGAGGAGATGCTACGTGGCCAGGAGGGAACATTCACCTGCCCCTCTCTGCAGCCTTTCACTGACTACAGTGTCACTGTCTCACTGCCCCCCAGCACAATCCTTTTTACATGGTTGGTCAGGACAGAGGAAACAGGTACGTGCACGAGTATAAGAGAGAAAGGACATTCCTGGGCTGTGTCACAGGCAGGGGAGCTGGATAAATATCCCCTTCACCCTTCAGCCTGATCACCCACTCCCTGCGGTGATGGTGCTGGGATCAGGGGTGTTTGGAGCCTGTGGGGCTCTGGGGAAGGAAGGGGACGTGCAGGGCCCTGGAGCACAGCACGTCCCCTCTTCACCCTCCCCGTCCCCACCACACCATCGCTGCTGCTGCAGCACAGGCAGCCTTTGTGGGGGACAAATCCTGCTTGGGGGGTCCCTCTGTGGCCTGATCCCTGGGCCAGGAGCTGCCTGTGCTCTGCTCTGGGCTCAGCCCCTCTTTGCCGACACCACGTGTGACCCCGTCCTCCTGTGCTTCCAGTGCCGGACAAACCGGAGAGGCTGTGGCTGGATTCCACCACGGGGTCCCTCAGGTGGAAGGCTCTGCCCCCCTGCAAAGGAGAAATCATCGGATACCAGGTACCAGGGGACCACGGGCTGTCCATGGTCCCCCCCACCTTGCCAGACACTTCCCTGCCTGGAGTTCTGTGCAGGCAGCCTGGGGAGAGTGGGGAAGGGAAAGCTGTGATGACCCCTCACAGTTCCCAGCCAGTCCAGGTGAATATCAGGCTGTGATGAACATGAGAGTTTACTGTCTCATGCTCTACATTTCTCCTGCTGTGGAGTTGCCCGGAGAGGTGGTGGGTGCTCCCTGCCCTCTGGGCTTCCTCCCTGAGTCTGCTCAAGCTGGTGTTTGGCAGACTTTGTGGCTTGGTGTGCAGCACTTGGTGACGTGTCTGCTGGGGCGGTCTCTGGGGGTTTCCTGTGCCTCTTGTGTGTTTGTTTCTGGTTTCTGCCACAGGGAAGCCTGTGGTTTGAGTCATCCTCTGAAAACCCCTCTTCTGATGGAGTTGCAACATTTCTTTGAGTTTTCCTCTGCGTGTGGCTAGAAGCACCTCCCCTCTTTGTGGGTTTGGGGTGCTTCCCGAGGAGCAGCCTTGCTTTCTAACACTGAGGGGTGGTGAGACCCTTACCAGTTTTCCCTATGCCCTCTCTGAGAACAGACCTCTCCCTTGGGTGACAGGGACCCAGACATGCTCATTCTTTGTGTTGCTCTTAGCTCTTTCCTGGAGAGAATGGCAAACAGGGAGCCTGACGGCATTGCTTGTGGGTGTATGTGTTCCAACTGGTTCCCTGCTGCCAGACACCTTTGTTTATGAAAAGAACCCATTTTTCTGCTTTTCTTTATCTCCTTTTTTGCATATCCCCAAGATGTCATTTCCATAAAGATCCCGGCAGCAGAGCGTATAGCCTGGGATCTCATGAGAAATTCAGATGATGCATTGACAAATGGGGGGCCTGCATCTGTATCCCTTGTGGGAAATCTATCTGCCAATTTTCATGCAGACAAATTCTTCAGAGTCCAACCTTGAATGGGAGGAAAGCAAAGTTCAGGGACCCTCCTGTGGGGGATGTCACCACAGTGCCCGTAGTGTTGCAAAACGATACCAGTGATCTCGGGCTCTTTACACATGCATACAGCTCTTCGAACAAGCGGCCTCCCTCTTGCCCTCAGCTCTCGACAGAGGCCTGGTCCTTTGCTCACAGAGGCAGCCGCTCTGACGGCTCAGGTGTTGGCTCCAAATTCCTCCTCTCCTCTGCTTCGCTGCCTTGAGGTCCACACACGGGACCACGGCCGCTGCTGGTTGCTCTCCAGGAGCCTTCCGGGAGAGGGGCAGGCGCAGAGGAGGGGCGGCTTGCAGGGGAGCTTTGCTCTGCCCGGGGGTGCTGCGGGTGGGTTCCCAGAGGGCAGGGGGGAGCTGCTGCCCTCCGGCTCTGTGCCCCGTCCCCAGCTGAACGTCACGGCCCGGAGTGTGCAGGACGGCGTCTTCCTGGAGATGGAGCGGCTGCGGCTGAACAGCTCCGTCACTGAGCACCCTCTGCCCCGGCACGGCCCCGGCAGCAGCTACGTGGTGGCGGTGCAGGGACTGACGGCCGCCGGAGCCGGGCCTGCCTCGCTGGGGGAGTTTCGGAGCAACAGCTCGGGTGAGGCTGGCTGTGTCCCGGCCCCGGCGGGGCGCCCACGACGCGCACCCCGGCTGTGGCAGCTCTCCGTGCCCAGCCCCGCGGGCTCGCCGCCAGCCCCGCGGAGCCCGGGCACGGAGGAGCTGTGCTGCGCAGCCCGGGGCTGCCCCTGCTCCTGGCGCTGCTCCCGCCGCGTCGCCCACCGCCGCTCATCCCCCGGCTCTTCCCCCCCAGACACCCCGCGCCCTCTCGGCGCCGGCTGCCGCGGCGTCCGTGACATCTCCCTCTCCCGAGGAACAGCCGTGCTTCCCCTGCGCCCCATCGCCTGTCCCGCCGAGGCAGCGAGGTGAGCGCAGCCCCGGCCAGCCCCGCGGTGACGGGCTTCCTCGCCGGCAGCGCTGGCCTGCAGCCGCCTCCACGCCGCTCTCCCCGGCCCCGTCGCCCCCAGCCCCGTGGCCCCCGGCCCTCCCACCGCCCCCAGTCCCGTCGCCCCCGGCCCTCCCACCGCCCCCAGCCCCGTCGCCCCCGGCCCTCCCACCGCCCCCGGCCCTCCCACCGCCCTGCCTTTCAGGGAGCACCGGCTGATCGTGGCTGCGACGCTCGACGGCACAGCGGTGGAAGGCGCCTGCCTGGGGGACCCGCAGCCCCTCAACGCCAGCCAGCAGCCCGGCGCCTACGTGGCCGCCGTGCTCAACCTCACCGCCCCCACGGACTTCGTGCTGGGCGAGGGGACCCGCGGGCAGGGCTACCACAACGCTGCCCTCCGCCCGGGCTCGGACTACACGGCCCTTCTCCGCCTCGTCTGCCGCTCGCGGCAGGTACCCGTCGTGGGGGGCTCCTGCTCTGCGGGTCTGCTGCTGCCGGAGGGGGCCGGGACCCTCGGCGGGCTCTACGGCGAGCGGTGGTGCCGCACGGGCTCTGCTCCTGGCCCCTGCGCTGAGAGCCTGGGGGCCCTGGCAGGGCAGTGTCCCCGGGGTCCTCGGCCACAGCCGGGGCGTTTGGTGGCCGTGGGTGGGAGACCTTTGCCCCCAGGGTGGGCAGCGGGGCAGGAGCGCCCTGACCTCTCCCTCCTGTCCCCTCCAACAGGCAGAGAAGTTCACCTGCGTCTGCTACAGCTTCTCTCTTGGTAAGTGGGCTCCTTGCCCCCTGTGCCCATGCCTCTCTCCCGCATGTCCCCTCCTCCCATCCCGGCCTCTTCCCATGGAGACGAGCTGGCCAAGTGCAGGAGAGGTACGGTGCTTTTGTGGGGTAGAGGAAACCTTTCATTTCCCATGATGATCCCCCATCCCTGAATTAACCCAAACCGAAACATTCATCTACACACTTGCGTATACCCTTTGCCATCATTGGGCCACTGCCAGAACTGCCACAGGCTGTGGCACCCACTCCTGGGTGTGTGTTAGTTGCAGGGCAGCCTCCAGACTCGTGGTATGGGACTGTGATTGGGGTGGCTGTGCTGTTGGCACTCCTCCTTGTGTCTGCAGGGATCCTGTGGTTCGTGCTTTCCAGGTGAGTACGAAGGGGACAAGTTCAGTGGGGTCATGGGCAATGCCAGTCTTTTACTTCAGGATTCCCCTTTGCCTTTTCAGGAAAAAGAAGTCTTTGCCCATCAGAGCTAAAGAGGATAATTAGAAAGGTAGGATAACACATCTCCCTGGGTGGTGCATGGGAGTAGGGCAGAGATCTCACAGGAGAGCCTGACCCTGAGGAGAAATATCTGCTCATCCTCTTCACTGACTTGTTTTTCCACTTGCCCCAGTCCTCTGGTGCTGGGGACGGTCGGGATGACTCTGCCCGCTGTGAGCCCCACGCAGCAGCAGAGCGAGCCCCAGGCAGTGTTCCCAGCCTGAGCAGGGGCAAGCAGAGGTGGGCATCCCAAAAGGTGGCTCATGGCTCAGCCCTCTGAGGGACCCATGGCTGTGTCATCCCTCCCAGGAGAAAGTCCTGCTGGAAGGGGTCTCAGGAGCGTCAGGCTGTTCTCGCCTGGGCACCAGCAGGCACCTTTGTGGATCTGTGACTGGACACAGCTGGGATGAAGGGATCGGGCTTCAGGCACTTGTGTGTGCAGGCAGCCGTGGTGGTGTGAGCTCCCCACGCTGCTGAGGGCACACAGCAGCCTCTGCCCTGGGTGTCCTTGGTCTCCACAGGTAAAGGTGGCCAGGTTGGAGATCAGTCACTCCAGCCCCCACCCAGGACCACAGGAGACACTTAGAGCAGTGAGGGAGTGGAGAAGATGGGGAGGATCACCCCAGCTCAGTGCTGATGGCTCTCCTGTGACTGTGACCAGTACTGGGGGTCCCATCCAATTCAGCAGAGCAAGAGGAAAACAGGAGGCCAAGAAGGGTTGTGAGCTTTTTCTTTCCTCACCCCCTTCACCTCCCGGATTTCGCTTACTGCTGTTTTAAGGCCTTTGAATGTGACTTTCTGTAGTTCCTTTTTTTAGGCTTTGCTTTCATTTTTGCTTTCCTGGAAACAGGAACTGTATGCCAGATTTCCCAGCTGCTGACTCATATGGGCTCAGGCTGAGGGATGGTCCATGTTCCTGCCATGTCCTGGGTTTGCAACCCCTCTCCCGCCTCTGTCTGCTGATATTCAGCCAAACCGAGGGTTGTTACGGAGCTTGACCTGACTGGGCTGCCTTCGTGACTTTGCCTGCTTTGTCCACACAACCAATAAAGGCTTGTGCTTTGGGGGGGGGCTGTGTGCCCCACTACAGCTCCTGCCTGGTCGCCTCACTGCCCCTGTGGGGTCATATCTCCCTGCAGGGACCTAACTGCACCTTGCTGAGGGGAGGCCATGAACAGGGCTGCTGTGACCCCATGTCCCTGAGTGGTGTCTGACAGCATTTCCGACCCCCAGGGTTGTGTTGGGCAGCTCTCATGTGCGTTTGGATGGGGTGCATGGTGGGAATCAATGAAGGGTGATGGCCCTCGACACACATCTTGGGCAGGAGTGTGTTCTGAGCCCATGCTGTGGCCAGAGCTGTGGGACCTGTGTGCTCTCAGCTCCTTTGCATCCCCTGTGCCAGCTCAAACCTGGAAGAAAAATTAAGATCTACCACCACCATGGCCAGCAGAGTCTTTATTGGTGAGACACAGAACAGAGCCATGGGTCAGTCCTGGCTCTGAGGCACTTTGCCCTTGAGCAACAAAGGCAGAATCAGTCTCCGTGGTGCAGCATTCCCTGCCAAAACCGCATCCGGGATATTTAAATTGAACCACTACAACCTGGGATTGCCGTGGTGGAGCCAGACAGGCTGGAGAGGGAGCCTCTCTGGAGCTGGCAGGGCTGTAGCATCTGGATCAGCATCAGGAAGACAGAGCTCCAAGAAGGGATTGTGTGGGGTGGAAAGGACCAGACGAGCCCTATAGGAATGTGGACTGTCTTTCCCTTAGCTCTTGTTGGCCTTGGGCTTTATATTTCTCCCAAAGTAGGACAGATAGCCTGCTCTCCTGAGCCCCAGGGATCTTACAGTGGTTTGATGTTCCCCTCGCCAAACAGAGTTTGAGTGTTGGTGGAGCTACCCCACTTTTCCTGGGGCTGCCTGAAAGGACAAGGGGGCCTGGATGGGACAGCTGGTTCTCTTCATCCCTGACACAGACAGATCAAGTCCTGGTGCCTCTGCTCTGCTCTGTTCTGCATACTCAGGCTGTGATTTCAGGTAAGTTCCTGCACAAACTCTGGGCAAAGGGTCAGATTCCCCTTTCAAAGCCTGACCACAATTGGGAGATAGTTCAGCCAGTGTTCTCCAGCCACAGAGGACCCTTGGGGTGGCTTTTCAGGGGAGTAAAGCATCTTGGGGCTGTGTACACCCCTCTCATCTCCTCTGGTTTCCACTGTTGTTGATGGAAGGCTGCCAAGAGAGTCAAAGTCCTTGCCAGAGATGGCTGGGGCCATGCCTCTACTTGAAGTTCCCATAGGTTTCAAATGAATTCAAGTAACTGAGGGCTAGCTCGTAGCAGAGCCCATACTGCTCCTGTGGACAAAAGGATGCATGTGAGAACCTGGTACACCAACACCTGCAGTAGAAGGCCAGCCTTTGTTGCCAACAGCTTCCTGAGCATGCCAGGTGCAGGTACAGCCCACTCTCCTCCCAGTTAGAGCCCTCCTTCCTCCACTGTAGCTGAGGACTGGGCTACCCCAGTGCCAGAGCCAGCTGGATTCAGGAGGAGAGCCAGCATCCATGGTGTGAAGTGTTTCCTGCTCACTTCCATCTGGGCTGCTCACCCTATGACGGCCTCTATCACCCAGATGGGGTGGTGGGGTGGGTATGTCCCAGCAGCAGAAAACAGGGTTTTCAGTGGCCTCATCTGTCCCTGATGGCCCCAGGATGATCTGAGCACAGAGGTGCTAGGGCGGCTGCTGGGACAGTGCAGGCGTTGGCTCTGCTGGTGCTGCCATCCTGGCTGGGTTTGAAGTCACCACCTACCACATCTTTAATCAGCTGCCTCCGCCGCTTCTTCAGCATCCTCACAGCTTGGGATACATCCACCAGCCCCTCGCTTTGGATCTGCTCACACAGGAAACTAGCAGCACAGAAGATCCCACTCCGGCTGGCACCATCCCTGCAGAGTAGAGCAAGAGGAGAGTCACTGGCTCTGGTATCACCTGGCAGGGCTGAGCCTCAGGGGTGTTCCATTAGACACACAGGCTCTCAGGATGACCTTGTCCACAGATCCTGCACCCAGCCAGCCTCCACAGGAAAGCCTTCCTCCCTGAACACAGCTGAATTCATGTCCGTATGTCCACACAAGAAGAAGCGGTGACCCAAGTTCATCGACGCAGCCTGGGCTGAGCCAGGTCTGTGCCACGGCTGCTCCTTGGGGAGACATCACTCACCAGCAGGTGACGAGGATATGCCCGTCTTGGCTCTGTCGATGGTATGTCTCCACCTTCCCTAGCAGGCTGATGATGGTGGCAGGGTGTGGGGGAAGACGCTGCTGCATGGGCCAGTCCTTCAGTTGCCAGAACCGGACTTCCAGTGCAGATTTCTTGGGCTAGTGGGGAAGACAGACTGTGTGTTGGGCAGAGAAGAAACCCATTGGCTTAATGGAGAGAAGAGAGGGACGGTGTGTATCAGTCCTGGCTCAGTCATGCACACTGAATCAAAGGAGCAGCTCCACAGTGCGATGGCTCAGTCCCAGACTTTGCCCTTCCCTGTTGAGTGCTCTGAGACCGACAGACGGACAGAGCACAAGTTAAGAGCTGAGCCCTAGGTGCAGTTCAGACTAATGCCAGCCCAGCGCCTAGATACCTGTAATAGCTGTCCCCGACCACGAACCACCACTGAGATGCATGAATTCTATCCATGTCTGTTGTCCTCCAAGTTAGAAGGGTACAGAAATGTACCTCTGCCTTGTACCTCTGCCTTCAGCCTCACCTTCTTGGGACTAACCTGTCCCCCAAGGTGAAAGGCCCTGCTCTGGCCAGTGCCCTTCCAGGACACCATCCCATCCCTCTGATCATCGTGGCCTCTGCCTCAGCTGTGACTTTGACCCCAAATCAAAGCCTGTTGGTGCTGGATCCCGGCTGGTCCTCCCATCTCTTGCAAAGGGTGTTCTCAAAGGACTTTACCATTTCTGTGCAAAGAGCCCACCTGCTGCCTGTTGATGAGGGCAAGTGTCCAGGATGTGAAGCCAACTCCGGGCTCCTCTGAGATCAGGTGGACGTGGAAACGGCCATAGGCAGCTTCGCCCTGGGTGGGCCAGAACTCCACGTATGTCTGGGGGGGGGGGGTGGGAAAACACATGTGTGATCACACTCAGCCCCAACCTGCACGCGTGGCAGAGCTCAGCATCTCGCATGGGTGTGCCCACACCAGCCCCTCGCCCATAGGCTGCAGCATGCATGTGGGTGCTCTGCCTGCCGTTTGCTGGGGACCAACCTGAGGTGCTGCAGTCAGAAAAGTGATGTTCCTGCAGAGAGGACACTTGGGCAGGGGTAAGGAAAACCTGGGGGATGCTCCCTTGCTGTGAAACTAGGGACACCCCACTGCTATTATGCCATGGTGCTGGGTCTGTCTGTCCTCAGGGGTCTCCCAGGTGGAGCCCACAAGCTTGCAGTGGGCTCTTACAGCAAGCTGGACTCTTGTGAGAAGAGCTGTGTGGGGTTAAAGGCAGAAAGCACACTGCCTGACCCTATGGGGAGCTGGGAGAGAAGAGGGCTACGCGTGGGCTGCTGACCTTGTCCAGCTCCTGGAGCTGGTTCAGCACAACCACCGATGTGCAGGTGTAATCCCAGACCAGAGACCAAAAATCCACCAGCGTAGTGGGGAACGGCAGCTGGGTGATGATGAGTCTGTCCTCCTTGGTGTACGTCTGCAAAACACAATGCGGTGTTGAGGGAGGAAAAGGTCACAAAATCCACAACCTGAGAGCCCTTCCGACAGTGGGGACAGCTCTGCAGGTCCAGGGAAGAGCCCAAGGAGATGCAGGACACCCCAGCCCTGCTCAGAGCAGGCTTGCACCCCGCTGCCGCCTCAGCTCATCACACCCGAGCTTTGCTTCCAGAAGGAAAAGACTAGGAGCAGCATCCTGCTGCTCTGCCTGTGCAGGCTGGGCTTAGGCTGCTCACAGGGGCCATCTCCTGGCAGCAGTGTCCCAGCCACTGGGAAGTAGTCACTGTGAAGAAGCTCCAGGGCTGGGACACCACAAAACGGGGTGGTCCACCTCTGCCTTGAGCGATGGTACCCGGGGTGGGTGTCTGCTACTCTCAGCACCTCCCACCCTCGGCTGGGACGGGAGCCTTACGTCGGCAAACACAGCGTTGATGTAACCCGGTGAGCCGTCCATGTTCAGTGAGGACATGAGGATGGGCCGGCAGGAATCAGCTGTGGAGGCAAGGTGCAGAGAGAGACATGGTGAGCCATCCTTTCTTGGCACAGAGGCATGGAGCTTTCCTTGCAAGAGGTGGGGTCGGCGTGGCACCCTGCAGCATGGGCTGGAGAGGGGCTTGGATAAACAGGTACCACCAGCACCATGGCCATGACAGCTCAGGGCTGCCTGATATGGGATGTCCAAAACCCTATGGGCAGAGGCACAGAGATGCAGCAGGTCCAACTTTGTCATTGGTCCCTGGTGCCTCATCTGGGCTCTTCCACTGGGAAAGATTAGACCCAGGGACATGTTTACCGCAGATTATACCCCATAAAAGTATGCTTCCAGCAAGCCCACAAGGAAGCAGGGATGGGATCTTGCTCTCATGGAGGGACTAACCTAATCTATATTTATTACCAATCAGAAAATGACAATTGGACCTTGGACAGAACCTGGCAGGAACATGGTGCTGGAGAGGGAAACAGCGGGGCAGCATCATCCCCCCACACTGATCTAAGGTGCTGGGTCACAGAGCAAGGGGCTGCCCATCCCAGCCAGTGGTACCTGGCAGGATCCCTGGCTTGCGGTTCTTGGGCTGGTTGCTGCGTTTCTCTGCTTCTCTGCATGGCAGCAGCTGGAACAACTCGGAAAAATTCTGCAGGGCCTGTAGGGATGATTCAGCCAAGCAAGTCCTGCCTGTCAGCATCTCCCCTTCCTCAGCCACCCCATAGAAATGCCCTCCACATATGGGGAGGGTAGAAGCAGCAGGGAGGCACCACAGGCCAGCCCCCCCAACACCAGACCCAGTGCACCAAATCCTGGTGTTACCTTGAACTCCTTCTCAAGGATGTTGTTGTGCCTTGAGGTCTCAGCTTCTCGAAGGCAGCGGACATGGCTGGCGATGCTCTCCACTGGGACCCCGGTGCTGCCGCAGAACAAGCCTTCGAGCAGCACCTCGTACAGGAAGGTGTACTGCTCCTGCATGAGGACACAGGTCAGCTGCACGGTCTGGAGCAGCTCCCTGAGGAGCCCTAGGACTCCAGACCACCAGTTCACTGGCATTGACCTGTGTCAGGAATGAGCCAGGTCCATCCTGCACCTTCCTGCTGTGGGGCCCTGAGAGGAGACATCTCTCAGTGCAGGCAGTCCTGCTCTGAGAAACAGCCAGCAACAACCCAGACAAGACCATCTTCCTGTGGTTTAATAGTCCCTCTCAGACCAGAACCCTGCTCTGGGGAAGGGAATCCAGAAAACCAGTGAACTAGTTAGTCCTCCTACAAGCAGCTGGATGGTCCCGCCCAACTTAGTTTCCTTCAAAGGGTCCCAGCACTGAACAAACCATGGGGACGTAGTCCCCAGGCCAGGGCTGCTGCCAAGAAGATTCCATGAGGGCAAACATCCTGAAAGCCTGAAGGACATGTGGACTCTTGTTCATGCTCCTTGCCTACAAGACAGTCCTTCTCATATCAGGATGACTGGTGCATATGCATGCTGCTGGCACCTCAAAAGGGTCTCAGGGGAACATGGATCCTGACTAGGTTTGGACACAGCATTGAAAACAAGATCCTGCAGTCTCCATCACCTGGCAGCTCCAGTCCCTGTGGCTAGACCATGAATGGCACGGCCAGTGTGGATTTGCACGCCGCACCCCTGAGAAGGGTGGGAAGCAGGTCTGCAGCCTGACAGTGTGCAGGGACCAGGTAACTCTCCTCACCTTGGTCTGCACCATGCTGACCCGCTGCTCCCGCAGCCTCTGCACACACTGAAACACATCCACCTTCCCCTCGGCCTTCCCCATCTTCAGGAGGAAGTCTAGGGCAATGAAGGTACCTGTGCGCCCGATCCCTGCACTGGGGACACAGAAAATTGGGGGGGTCAGTGCTGCCCTGGCCAGTCTTGCTCCTCCACCCAAGTGCTCCCAGCCCAGTACCTGCAGTGCACCAGTACGGGTCCAGTTGGCACTTCCAACCTCCTCTTGTTCACCACCTCCACTAAGCAGAGGAGCTGAGCAGAGTTTCTTGGGACCCCATGGTCTGGCCACAGCTGGTAGTGAAACTGCTCCACCACTCTTGGGAGATCACAGCCTGCCTGCAAAGAGGGAGACACGGCTGGAAGCAGGGAGCAGGAACCAACCTGGAAACTTACCTGAAATAATTGCATCCCAACAAGTAGGGAGCAGTGGAGACAACCACTTCAGGGGGAGCACCGGCACAGAGTGTTCCCCCCCAGCACCCTCACTGCAATGAGTGCTCCACTGCAGCTCATCAGACAGCAAAAGGCAAATTCACCCAGCACACAGCCACACAGTTCTCTGTGTTCTTTGCTTCCCCATGCTATGAACAGTGAACTCAGAGCAGTAAATGCAGCTTGTGTTTCAGACGAAAAATAAATAAAAATCACAGTTTAGTGTTTCCATAGTCATTGAAAAGCCCTGGCTTCCCCAGATAAGGTATTTCCTAAGTTGTTTATTTTCAACAAAAGTGAATGTAGTCACTTTTGTTACCTGTTTTTCCTGTAGTTTTCCCTAAATATCACAGTCATTTGACCTGAACTAATGAACTGCTATGTACTACCATCAGGTGCTCTTGGAGCCTTACCTTTCAGCTAGACTTTGCTCTGGACAAGACAAGAAAAGACAAGAAAATACATAACTGCAATGTCTTTACATTGTATCTGTTTTCCCCTCCTTGCAGCTCCTTCAGTTCCTGCTTATTATCTGAGGTATAACTTCATCAGAGAAATGTCATTTTGTAAGTTTTCTTAAACCATAAACTATCTGTTCAGGTTTAGGAGCTGGAAGTGACCACGGATCTTCAGCGTGGACCCTCTGCAGATTGGCCCGGGTGGTAGGCAGGCACATAATCTTGGATGTACACAGATGCCATTTTATTCCCTTTAATTTCTTTTATAGCCTTTGTCATCACCTCATCCAAGCCCTTAAGGATGCATGATTTGCCCATGTACATCATCAGTCCAGACTCAGCTGGGGTGACCGCTGGAGCTGACCCACTGCCTTTTCCTGGCACAGACACCTGGGGCCGATGCCCTGGCATGACACCTAGTGATAGCATCACTGACCGACCAGCGCTGGAGACCAGGCAGCACTCCCTACAGCACCTCTTGGCCGACAGATTCCATGAGCTGCTGAAACTCAAAAGCATTCTGCATCTCCGTCTTAGCTACGCACCAGGCTTACCTTCTGCAGGCAGAAGATGCGTGTGACAAGGCCCGTGGTGGTCCTGGTGTTGTTGAGTGTCACAGTGAAGTCCCCGTAGACCTGCTCCTGCTCTGGCCAGTACTGCTCACACTTGGTCTGTCAACAGCAGCAAGACGGCTAAGCACTAGCACACTCATGGGGAGAGTGTTGCAAGCCAGCAGTGCGTGGAGCTGCTCCCTACCCTCACTGACAGCTGCACTGGGAGCAAAGCAAAGCAAAGCAGGCAAGGAAACCTGGGGTCTGGGGAGGCCCAAGCTGAGCACAGGCTGAGATGGTTTCTCTACCTTGTTTTGCTCCACTAAGCCTGTCAGCATCACAATGACCGAGGTCTTCTCCTGCCAGACCATCTGCCAGAAATCCAGCACCGTCCCAGGCAAGGGGCCTTGGGGAGGAAGAGGAGAGCCCTGTGCCAGTGTCCAAGCCATGGGGGCGTAGCTGCTCCCAGGCACAACACGGACATCCCCAGCCCACGAGCACCCCTGGGCTTCCCTCTGCCCTGGGACTAATACTGCACAGCCTGGGCGCAGCAGCACCTGGCAAGGGGTGCTGGGCACCTTGGCTTCATCACCCGTGTTGGAAACTGGGACAAGGAAGAGGGAGCACATGTAAGCCCAGGATATGTCAGGTATTCACTGCTGCTTCAGGGGCTTCCCCATCTAGACCCTCCAGATGACCGTGAGCTGCCCCTGCATTTAGGGTCCTATTTCCTGAAGAGAATTGCTGCAGCTCTGCAAGGAGCCTGAGACCTCCTCACCGCATGCTGCACAAAGCAGACTAACCCATCCCACCATTGCACCCTTGGAAGGAGCCTGTGTCTGAGTGCATTGAGTGCAGGCATGTCAGGCATTTGCAGGTTTGTCCCTGCCACACCAGCTGCTGAAGGGAACAAACCAGTCTTGTGGGTGGAAGGACCATGTCTTCAGCCTGGGCAGTGCAGGGACCAGCTTCAGCTGACTACTGCCAAACTGAGGTCTTCCATGCCCTGCAGCAGCTGTAACCACCATCCAGGACAGAGGTCCAAGAGAAACAGGTCCTTGGGCTGGGCCATTAACAGATCCTAGGCTGCTATCCCAGTTCCCCACTCCCCAAAGTGCTCAGGCACCTCCTGAGGATTAGGGCTGGGAGCTCTCACCTTGAGCTGCAATGAAGAAGCGTGGACTGTGGTAGCTCTGTGGAGGGGAGATTCAAACAGCTCCAATCACATGGGTTAAATGTTTAACAGGGAATGTTATATAGGACCCATCCCCATAGGCACCAGAGCTCAGAGCCCTCAGCACACCATGTCCCACAGCACCAAGAGTGGGTACCCAGGGGCTACATCTCAGCTCCTGTCCCCTCACACAGGTCCCCTTTTATTAGAGATGAGAACTGCACACAAACCCAGAGTACTTTGGGCAGCTCGGGGAAGACTCAAGGAAAGTGACATGCCAAGATCTGCTGGTATGTGAGGGCAGCAAGTGCCAGATCTCGGGGCCACCCAATTGAGCAGGACTGTCCTCACCCAGCACATCCAGGCACCTCTCCTACCCTACCCAGGCACCTCTACCCTGCTTAGGGCAGCAATTCCTCACTACCTACATCCACGTAGCTGGCATTGATGTAGTCATTCCCTGTGCCAGAGGGCTGCAGCACCACACGGCAGTGGTCATCTGAAACAGAAGGGAAGTGAAAGTCAGTAGACTGTCTCTTTGGGGCAGCAATTAAATAACTGTTTAAGGAGGGGGATGTAATTTAGGAAAGTCTGGAACCGTCTGCTCCCTCCTCAGCAGCACTCCAGGCCTCAGAACATTTTCAGAGGTAGGGAACAGCTAATGAGATGAAGGGTGACATGGCACAGCAGGAAATGCAACATGATTTTGGGGAAGACTATTAATAGAATGGTCAAATATCCACACCACCTTGGGCCCAGAGGAGCTTTAAGTTTTGATAGAAATTGGGTCGCTCCCTCCACTTTCCCACAAATAGCCACCTCTGGATAGGACAGGGCAGTGTTCAGCAATAACTAACAGTGGAAACAGGAATGCAACGATGAATGATTAACCTTGCAGGGAGATTTGAGGAGAAGAACAAGGATTCTTCAACTGGACAGAAAACAGTGGGGACAACATGATGATTTTGGACTATCCCTCTGGGTTGCAGTGGCCACAGAGGATGAGACGAGGAGCTCAGCATTGTTGACAAGCTGGATGGGCACCTACACCAGTCCAGCACCCTGTACTGCCCACCCACCTCCAAATGCCTGTGCCAACCCCTGGAGATCTCTGCTTACATGGGATGATGCTCTTGTAGCGGTTCTTGCTCTGATTACACAGTTCCTTCCCAGCATCGCAGGGATGCAACAAAGCGAGGGACAGTTGCTGCAGAGGAAGAAGACAAGCCCACTCCACATTGGCAAGTGTTCTGGGCCTGGCCATGGCCAACTGCATCACACACCCAAGGAAAGGGTGAAGGGCTGGGTGGATAGTGCAATCAGGTGAGAAAGCAGAGCTAAACCAGACCTGGTACTCTCCCAGACGCCCAGCGCCATGCCCATCAACTGACTCATCCTCTGTCTGCTCTGCCTCTATTTCTGCCCTCTTAAACCTCTTCAGAGCCTCCAGCAGTTCCTCCACCGGGATTTGTGTGTTCAGCTTGCACACACCTATGGAGACAATGAGGCCAGGAGTTTAGCATGCACCTGATGGCTGGACCTGGAGCTCTGCAGCTGGGACTGACCTGGCATTGTGGTGGTCAGGACACCACCAAACCCTAGATTGTCCCTCCCCACACAGGTCCCTTTCTCCTGGGAGGTGTCCCTTTCCCAGTGTCAGCCAGCTCTTCTCTTCTTGTTCCTGTAAGGACCTTACAGAGCCTGTAAGCACCATGCCTGTACTTTTAACAGACAGCCTGTCCAGACCAGGCATGCAGAGCCTCTGCTCATACTGCACCTCCTTGACATCTTCGCAGGGGGATAGTGCTGTTGTTCTCCGACGTTTTTGAACTGTTGTACTTTCGCCTGCAAAACAGCAAGTCAGGCTCATAGACCAGAAGAAGAGAGGCAGAGGAGAGGCTGTTGCCCATGTAACAGCCCTGCCTCACACCTTGCTTTACCTCAGGGTCCACTTGGACACTCCCTGGCAGAGCAAAGTGCTGGATGCCTCACAGAGAGCAGGAGAGATGAGGGACATACTGACCTGAAGATCACGAAGAGCAGCAAGATTGCCAGTGCAAGGAGTACAACGACCAGTGCTATTGTCATAATCACAGGCATCCTGCCCAGTGGAGGCACCGGCTCCTGCCCTGCAACCAGCACAGGGCAGGCTCAGGCTCCTGCACAGCCTGAGCCAGGCATTGGGAGATCCCATAGGAGCGGAGTGTGAAAAGCAGCTTCCCCCATCTCTCACCACAGGCTTTTCTTTGGAGAACAGCTAAGCCGTTGTAGGAGTAGGTGCTTGTTTGGTGTGATACCCTCCACTATGGGCCCTGTCTCCCTGACTGCCCCAGGCATGGCCCAAGTTTGGTGAGATGTTTGCATTTCTGGGGTTCAACATATAAGAGGGGAGCACTAGAACTAAGGTGCACTAGGCAATGATGGCAGGGATGATGCACAGTGTCCAGCTGCCATTGGTACCACACCTGCCCAGGTGCCCTGAGATTGCCCAAACCCTATTACACCATAGGTAGCCACAAGATCCAGAGAACTTCCACAAAGATGAAAGCATGACAATAAGACCCTACCACTCCTGCACTTGGCCAGCTCGTCTCCATGGGAAGAGGCCGGGATGGGAGGAGGGGACATGCGGGAGAGAGGCATGGGCACAGGGAGCAAGGAGCCCACTTACCAAGAGAGAAGCTGTAGCAGACGCAGGTGAACTTCTCTGCCTGTTGGAGGGGACAGGAGGGAGAGGTCAGGGCGCTCCTGCCCCGCTGCCCACCCTGGGGGCAAAGGTCTCCCACCCACGGCCACCAAACGCCCCGGCTGTGGCCGAGGACCCCGGGGACACTGCCCTGCCAGGGCCCCCAGGCTCTCAGCGCAGGGGCCAGGAGCAGAGCCCGTGCGGCACCACCGCTCGCCGTAGAGCCCGCCGAGGGTCCCGGCCCCCTCCGGCAGCAGCAGACCCGCAGAGCAGGAGCCCCCCACGACGGGTACCTGCCGCGAGCGGCAGACGAGGCGGAGAAGGGCCGTGTAGTCCGAGCCCGGGCGGAGGGCAGCGTTGTGGTAGCCCTGCCCGCGGGTCCCCTCGCCCAGCACGAAGTCCGTGGGGGCGGTGAGGTTGAGCACGGCGGCCACGTAGGCGCCGGGCTGCTGGCTGGCGTTGAGGGGCTGCGGGTCCCCCAGGCAGGCGCCTTCCACCGCTGTGCCGTCGAGCGTCGCAGCCACGATCAGCCGGTGCTCCCTGAAAGGCAGGGCGGTGGGAGGGCCGGGGGCGGTGGGAGGGCCGGGGGCCACGGGGCTGGGGGCGACGGGGCCGGGGAGAGCGGCGTGGAGGCGGCTGCAGGCCAGCGCTGCCGGCGAGGAAGCCCGTCACCGCGGGGCTGGCCGGGGCTGCGCTCACCTCGCTGCCTCGGCGGGACAGGCGATGGGGCGCAGGGGAAGCACGGCTGTTCCTCGGGAGAGGGAGATGTCACGGACGCCGCGGCAGCCGGCGCCGAGAGGGCGCGGGGTGTCTGGGGGGGAAGAGCCGGGGGATGAGCGGCGGTGGGCGACGCGGCGGGAGCAGCGCCAGGAGCAGGGGCAGCCCCGGGCTGCGCAGCACAGCTCCTCCGTGCCCGGGCTCCGCGGGGCTGGCGGCGAGCCCGCGGGGCTGGGCACGGAGAGCTGCCACAGCCGGGGTGCGCGTCGTGGGCGCCCCGCCGGGGCCGGGACACAGCCAGCCTCACCCGAGCTGTTGCTCCGAAACTCCCCCAGCGAGGCAGGCCCGGCTCCGGCGGCCGTCAGTCCCTGCACCGCCACCACGTAGCTGCTGCCGGGGCCGTGCCGGGGCAGAGGGTGCTCAGTGACGGAGCTGTTCAGCCGCAGCCGCTCCATCTCCAGGAAGACGCCGTCCTGCACACTCCGGGCCGTGACGTTCAGCTGGGGACGGGGCACAGAGCCGGAGGGCAGCAGCTCCCCCCTGCCCTCTGGGAACCCACCCGCAGCACCCCCGGGCAGAGCAAAGCTCCCCTGCAAGCCGCCCCTCCTCTGCGCCTGCCCCTCTCCCGGAAGGCTCCTGGAGAGCAACCAGCAGCGGCCGTGGTCCCGTGTGTGGACCTCAAGGCAGCGAAGCAGAGGAGAGGAGGAATTTGGAGCCAACACCTGAGCCGTCAGAGCGGCTGCCTCTGTGAGCAAAGGACCAGGCCTCTGTCGAGAGCTGAGGGCAAGAGGGAGGCCGCTTGTTCGAAGAGCTGTACGCATGTGTAAAGAGCCCGAGATCGCTGGTATCGTTTTGCAACACTACGGGCACTGTGATGACATCCCCCACAGGAGGGTCCCTAATCATTTCTTTCTTCCCACAGGTCATCACAGCTTTCCCTTCCCCACTCTCCCCAGGCTGCCTGCACAGAACTCCAGGCAGGGAAGTGTCTGGCAAGGTGGGGGGGACCATGGACAGCCCGTGGTCCCCTGGTACCTGGTATCCGATGATTTCTCCTTTGCAGGGGGGCAGAGCCTTCCACCTGAGGGACCCCGTGGTGGAATCCAGCCACAGCCTCTCCGGTTTGTCCGGCACTGGAAGCACAGGAGGACGGGGTCACATGTGGTGTCGGCAAAGAGGGGCTGAGCCCAGAGCAGAGCACAGGCAGCTCCTGGCCCAGGGAACAGGCCACAGAGGGACCCCCCAAGCAGGATTTGTCCCCCACAAAGGCTGCCTGTGCTGCAGCAGCAGCGATGGTGTGGTGGGGACGGGGAGGGTGAAGAGGGGACGTGCTGTGCTCCAGGGTCCTGCACGTCCCCTTCCTTCCCCAGAGCCTCACAGGCTCCAAACACCCCTGATCCCAGCACCATCACCGCAGGGAGCAGATGCTTGGGCTGAGCTGCCAGCAAAGGGCACCTTTGCATTTCATGTAGACGCACCCGTTTCCTTTGTCCTGAGGAACCGTTTGTACAGGATTGTGCTGGGGGGCAGTGAGACAGTGACACTGTAGTCAGTGAAAGGCTGCAGAGAGGGGCAGGTGAATGTTCCCTCCTGGCCACGTAGCATCTCCTCTCCCTTCACCTCCTCAGCCTCACAGGGAGGGGAGGAAGGCCTTGCCAGACGGCACATGGCCTGCATGTGCTGGCAGGCGTCAGGGAGCCTGCAGGTCCAGTTCAGTTTGATGCTGGTGCTGGAGATCTCCAAGGACTCAGGGACAACCTGGAGGACCTCTGTGAAGGAAACATTGCAAGAGAGTCACTTCCTTCCCTTTCCCTCCCAGCCTCGCAAGGGTGCTGCAGTCAGACAGCCCTGCTCGCCACCCATGTGGGTGGGAGGGAAAGTGAGAGGCTGAAACTGGTCACTCCAGCTCTCTGGCAGGGGAACAGGAGGAGTTTGGCATCATGGTGTACTCAGAAGCTGGATGTGACCTTTTGGGAGCATTCCCCCAGCGTGACAACTGACTCCATTCATTCAAACATCAGGACATGGTGTGGGCAACAAAAGGAAGTGCAGGACAGTGTGTTCTCATCCAGGCTACATCACAGCTCACAAGAAGCAACAAAGGGGTCCTTCTGCCCTCACACCATCTGAGGTGTGTGCTTGCAGTCAACCTTTGGTGCCATGGAAGAGCACAATGGGACACATTTCATCCTGGTCCTGCAGAAGCTACATCCATGGTTGTCAAACCTGACAGCACTGGCCCCAGGGAATAACCATGACCTTTGCATACTGAGTCTCACCTAGATAGATTCCCAGCATTCTGCCCCTGCAAAGGACCATCCTGCTCCTGATATCTCCCTTACCGATGCACTCCACGTTAGACTGAATGAGGATCCAGTCACCTCTGATGACCCTTCCAAGCCAAACTTCTCTGTATACAGGTTCCCCGTGACTGAAGGGCTGGACTTCCCTTACACATTTGACATGGGTGAAGTACGGCTGGAAACCATCGATGCAACTCAGCGTCACTTCCTCATTCTTCTTGTAACTCTCCTGGTCTGGTGCCAGCCGGAGTCTTGGGTCCCACCAGGGCCTTTGGCACATTCCTGGAAGAGCTGAAAGTGGGTGTTAATTGGGCTGGGAGGTGATGAACTAGGTCAGGGGTGGGTTGTGGGATATCAACAATCATTCAGTTTGGGGAACAGCAGGGCAGTCAGGAGAGCTCCTGATGACTCCCTTACCAGTGCACTCCATGGTGGATGGAATGTGGATCCAGTCACCGCTGCTGTCCCTTCCAAGCCAAACTCCATATGGATGTTTTCCATACCTGCTGGTCTGGACTTCACTCGAACATTTGATTTCGGTGAAGGATGGCTGGAAACCCTCAGGACAGCTCAGTGCCACTTTCTCATTCTTCTTGTAACTCTCCTGGTCTGGTGCCAGCTGGAGTCTTGGGTCCCACCAGGGCCTTTGGCACATTCCTGGAAGAGCTGAAAGTGGGTGTTAATTGGGCTGGGAGGTGATGAACTAGGTCAGGGGTGGGTTGTGGGATATCAACAATCATTCAGTTTGGGGAACAGCAGGGCAGTCAGGAGAGCTCCTGATGACTCCCTTACCAGTGCACTCCATGGTGGATGGAATGTGGATCCAGTCACCGCTGCTGTCTCTTCCAAGCCAAACTCCATATGGATGTTTTCCATACCTGCTGGTCTGGACTTCACTCGAACATTTGATTTCGGTGAAGGATGGCTGGAAACCCTCAGGACAGCTCAGTGCCACTTTCTCATTCTTCTTGTAACTCTCCTGGTCTGGTGCCAGCTGGAGACTTGAGTCCAGCTGGGGCCTTTGGCACATTACTGGCAGAAGTGAAAGTGGGTGTTAGTTGGGTGGGAGGTGATGAGGTGAGGCATTGTTAGGTGGTAGGAGGATAAAACCCAGCAATCCATCCAGCCCCTGAAGGGAGAGGAAAGGTGACATGTCCATCTGCCAGGACATTATCTGTAGGCAAGAAGTGTTTGGAGGGGCCTCTCCTTGTGCACCCAAAGTGTGAAGAGTCATTCGTCCATGAACTTCCCCCATCCACCCACTTCTGTCTTCCTAGCCATCTCCCACAGCCTGAAACAGGGAAGTTCCAATGTCTCTCCTTGCCCCCCTCCCCTGAGCAATGGGCTGCCCACGCACGTCCATCCCCACACTCAGCGCAGCTCTGTCCCTGCCTGGGGCAGCCCCACATCCCCATCACGTGAGGGAAGGCATCAACCCCCACAGCCTCCAGCCCTGATGCCAAGGTCTGACCCAGCTCCAGGCACTCAGGGCTTCCTTCAGTCCCCTCCACTCCAGCTCCTGGGGCTGCAGGAGATGTCCCCAGTATCCCTCACCTGCACAGGCAGGCAGGGGGAGAAGCAGACCTGTGCACTCCCAGGGTGACAGGTAGATGCACACCAAGGATCATGGCACCTCCATGGGCTCCTCAGCGCTGGCCCCGGTTCCTGCCCCAGGCCCTGGTACCCATCTGCAAGGGCCCCACGCTTGGCCTGCTCAGGAAACACTGCAGGAGCTGCCAGCTCGTCTGGCTGTCACTGTCTTGTCTCTTGCCTCCTTCTTGGGCTGTCCTCTTCAACAATTTGCACAGGCAACACAGCACCAAAGCACCATGGTGTGTCTGCAGCTTAGCTGGGCAATGTCATGACTGGCTGTTGAAGGTGAAGGTGAAGAGAGACACGGGAGAGGTGCTGCTGTCTCACTTACCAATGCACTCTACAGCCTTTTCAATGCGCATCCAGGTGCTGGTGCTGCTCCTGCCCCACCAGGTAACCCTATAGACTGGTCTTCCAAAATGCACTTGCAGAAATTCTCTTGCACACATGACACTGGGGAAGGATGGTTTGAGGTTTGTACGGCAGGTCAGTGTCAGTTCTTCGTTCATTTGGTAATAATTTTTGTTTGATGGAAATCGAAGTTTTTCATCCCACCGGGGTTTTGAGCACTTTTCTGTCAGGGAGAAAGTGTGAGAGTCCTTCTCATGGACAGAAGATGCTGAAGCAGGATGGGGTCCGAGGCTTTGCCATGACTGTGGTGTCATCATTTGACACCATGAGGAAACCCAATGGCCCCCAAGTGTGGGAAGGAAGTGTGTGCCTGGGCAAGGTAGTGATATAGGACACTGGGAAAGAGGTGAACTGAGCGGGAGGATCTGGCCTCCTCCAACTTCCCCCTTGGCCTACAGCTGAGGAATAGACTGTGAGCAGATGCAGGAACAGTGAGAAAACCTGTTCCACACTGAAGGCTTCTGTCCCTCCCAATCTTGGACACTGCTCCCAACTGGGGCCCATCTCTTAGCTGTGGCATTTAATGGATATGGCAGGATGTGCAGGGTCCCTCCTTGGGGAGTAGCAGGGGACACCTATGGATTCCCCAACTTACCTGTGCTGCACTGCAGGTCCTTTGTCACCCCATGCCACGTTCCCTGAATATCCTTCACCTCCCAAGTATCCCTCCAAGCTGGAAATGTCCCTTTTGCACATCTGATTACAGCAAGGGGAGGATGGTGCTCCCTAAAGCAGCTTACTGTGATCTCTTCATGAAGACCATAAAACCCCTGCTTAGGGGTAAAGTGGAGCATTGCGTCCAACTGGGGCTGCCGGCATGTCTCTGCACAGAGGAGAAGGATGTAAGTAGGATGGGAAGGGGCCTGCTGTGGGGTCTATTGTCCTGATTTTGACACTGCCCAGATCCTTTGGTTACTACATCCAATTCCAAAACCCTCTCTTGCAACCTAGAGCAGAGTTAAGGGTGGCAACAGGCCACCTCAAGAGCAATCCCATCCATTCCTACAGACGTGTAAGGCTTCCCCGCTCAGGCTTTATTTGGGTAAGGCTGACCAGGGACTGGGCTCCTCCCAAGCATTCACACAGCTGCCCTCACTCCCACTACCTCAGCCATATGCCCAGTCACTGAAGGCATGGGGCTTACAGTAGCTCCCGGTGCCGGGACCCTTGTTCCTGCCTTTGAACCCCTCCCCAGGAGCACAGATCCCGGCAGCTGCCCACAGCAAGGTGCTGAGATAAAAGATGCCCTGGCACTGCCAGGACAGGGCAGGAAAGCCAAAGCATCCAGGTCCCCAGTGCCTGGCCTGTCACCCAGGTGGGGCTGAAGCACGACCATGTCACAGAGGGTCTGCCACCAGCTCAGAACCCCGGGTCAGGGTGATGCGGGGCGGTGCTTACCCTTGCAGGTGGCAGTCCCGTCCCACAACGTCTGGGTCCCGCTGGAAATGCATCTGATCTGGGGGACCGATGGCACATAGTCGCCAGCACAGCTCAGCTGCACCGAGTCGTTCACGGCATAGCTGCTCTGCTGCGGGGTAAGCTGCAGCTTGGGGTCCCAGTCGGAGGGAGCTTTACATCTTCCTGTGTGCAAAGGACATGAGGGAGAGCCCTGAGGATCGCCGGGCTCCGGCAGCGTCCTCATCCGGAGGGGTGCTGGTCCCCCTCCCTGCAGAGGGGTGGCAGGGGTGAGCACCTCGCAGGATGAGACCCCAGACCCCAGGTGCATTAACGCCCCTTGCACCCTCAGGCACGGCGCGGGAGGGTTAGGGTTACCCTAACCCTAACCCTAACCCCTAACCCTAACCCCTAACCCTAACCCTAACCCTAACCCTGGCCCTCCTGCCCACCCACGGCTGCGGGGGGATCCCAGCCAGCAGGATCCAGCAGCCGGGTGGGTGCTGCTCTCTCCTGCACTCCCTCCCCCAAAGACAAGGGGCTGGGGCAGTGCACCAGAACCAGTGAGCCTCTGCTGGCACCACTCCCCTGTATTTCTGTCATCCTGCTGGGCACTACCCGCTCACACCCATGTGAACACTTATTTGCAGCAAAAAGCCCACTCTAGTTGCCAAATGGATTTTGCTCTGCAGGTTACACTTGTTATTTTGTCCCGTCCATCCCTTGCCCACAGTACCCACTGACTCCTAGGACTGCTTATGTCCTGTCCCATATCCCTCCCACCCTCACCCAGGAGGGGCTACACCCCCACATCTGGGTTGGCAGAAAGGACTCAACAGGGACTGCAGGTATGTATTTAACCAGCTGCATGTTTGGTTGCATTTTGCAACATATTGATCAGGCAACTGAAGGAAGTAAATCTTCATGTTCGTTTTTCATTGGTTTCTAGGCAGGAGTGCTTCTGACTCTCCGCATGGCATTAATTTGGGTCTCTACCCTCTGACCAGATACCAGTTTTCATGTAATAAGACATATATCTCTCTGTGAGCTCTCTTCATCCAGAAAATTCAGCTGTAAGTACCCAAACATTGTCCGAAGTTACCGGGTGCAGCCAGGCTGGCACAGTGACTTTGCAGTGCCTCCCAACACACCCAAATGGCGTTTAGGGTTCACCATGAAACCATTATTGTTCCGCACTCCTCGTGCAGCAGGCCAGCAGACCACAACAGCTGCATCATCTCATCCGGAATAAATCCCCTGCCAAATAAATGGAATAAAATACCACCAGACTGGCTAATTGAGCAGCAATTATTTCAGGCAGGTGAGAGCTACTCATGAAGGCATTTCCTGTGTTTCATTTTGCATTTCAGGGCCCAAAATTTTGCCTGTACAAAGTTTATTCATCCATGAGGATCCTTCCAGATTAGAGTCACAGCAGAAACGTGAATAGTCGTTCCTTGAAAAGAGGTTTGCGGGGCCTGACCTCAAGCAAGAAGCAGTTTGAGGGAATGAAACCACTCCAGTGGAGACAGTCATAGGAGCTGAGGGGCTGTGAGTGCTCACAGGCACGGCTGGCCTCCCCCAGACTGCTCCAGCATTGACCTTCGGTGGAAAGGGGGCTCTTTGCTTTTCTAAGTGCTTCCATACCTCCTGGTAGCTGTTACAGTCCCCACAGTGACACAAAACCCACCAGCAGCACACAGCTTGGTAACCTGCTGGGCAGGAAATGAGGAGGAAAATAGAAATTCTCCTCCGTGTGCAACCTTCTGACACAGGTGCAGATTTTGAGATAGCTGGGACAGCGTCTTCCTACAAACATCAATGGCTCTGCTGGCAGGGGTGGTTGCAGCTGTATGCCAGAACTCTGGCTTGCTCCCAGCCCGCCCTGAGCCTCGCACCAAAACTTTTAGTGCCCTTCATGTAGCAACGCATTTGCTGCAGATACAACCATGAATGAAAAAAAATTAAGGTTTTTGTCCTTGTGTGGTGCTTTCCTACAGAGGCCAGGGATAACGCTACATTTAAAAAGGCCACATCTCATGGCTGCTGCTTTAGAGGTATAATACAGTGCACAGCTATTGTAGTACAAAGGAGAATTAGTCTTTGTTTAAAGTTTGGTTTTGTTTTTTTTTTTTTTGCTAAAAGGTGAAGCTTCTGCACACTGCAACTAGGTGTATTCAGCACTATACTAATTATTGTTGACAGTCACTTAGGATTGATTCAGCCTTTCCTTTAGTTATGGGCGGTTCAGTAAAGCCCATGTAACAGGCTGGGCAAGGACCACTCGGGGCAGAGCCTGAGGTCTGGGTGGGAGAGATCAGCAAAGGCAGGCAGAGGCAACAGCTCATCCCCATCCTCAGAGGAGCCAGAGCCTTGAAAGCGCTGCTGTAGGGGAGTTCACCAGCCTCAGAAATTTGCCTGTGAATTAACGCTGTACGACAGAGGGACGTGTGTGACAAAATGAGCTTGCTTGCCTTGCAAAGGGGTAGTAGTGTACGGCAGTGAGACAGCCTGGGAAGCTGCCAGAGCCCATTGGCCTCCGGGATGCAGAGCATCCTGCCAGCAGCGCTCGTGCCGTCCCTCCGGGCTCGGCCTCCCACCCGCAGCCCTGCTGCTGCCGAGGGGCCAAAGGCATGCAGGGTGTCGCAGCACCGGCACCATCTGCGTTCAGGCATCTGCCGCCACTCAGAGCCCTTCCTGGTGGAATTTCTGACGACTGCTCGAGGGTAAAAGCCTAGAAGTCTCTGCTTCCTCACAGAAAGGGGAAGAGAAGACACTTTCAGTCCACATCTGTTTTTGTCTCAGGAACATTACTGAATACAATCCAATTCAACCTCACTTATAGCCTAGCCCAAGCCTAGCAGGCATGTGTTTACCACTTGAGACTCACTGGCAGAAACTAACCTACGGCTGCTGTGCGCAGTCGAGCTGAGCAGGCTCGGGGGGACACGCTGTCCTCGCCCTCTTTCTTACACTCCTTCCACAATCACTCCATAGCATTTGCCACGGGAAGAGAGCTCCTTGGAGCCAAAGAGCCTTTGCTCTAACACAGGGTGGCTGTTTGCGTGCTTTAGTGGTGGCCAGGGGAAGCTGTGTGGCACACATGAGGAGGAAGGTATGGGATCTCTGCCAGGCTGGAGATCACCACTTGTGAGAAGCAGATGGATGCACATGCCTGTGCCTGGCGGGACGGGGCACTGCCGGAGAAGGGAGGGTGCTCAGAGAGGGGAAAGAAACGCTCAGCTTCTAGATTTGTAGGGACTAACAGCATCCGGGAGAATAAAGAAACAGTCATCAGACACTGTTTTTCACCCTAAACCGTGGTATGCAGACAGCCGCCCACAGGCCCTCCACCCCCAACGATAGAGAGAGGCTGAGGAGACAAGCAAAATTTCAGCATGGAAAATATGGTGTAGATGTGACCAAACAGGCACCTCTTGTAACGTACAATATGTGCTCTGCAAAATGGAAAATGCTGAATGCCTGAGCAGGAGTGATAAAAAAAAGTTAGTCTATTTGCCTCATGTATTCATATAGATATTAACCATTACATTTTTTTCGGTTGATGATATTAAAGGAATACCCTCCTTGTTAATATTGTTTAATACTTACAAACATAGAAAGCATTTTACAGAAATATCTGGACTGCCTGTCCCTGCTGCAAAGAGTCTGGTGGGCAAAACAAAGCTCCAGCATGCCCCAGAAGCAGATGTTGGGGAGGATTAGGAAAAAGGAGGAAAAGCTATGCTGGTAATTCAGGTCAGGCTCCTGGGTTCAGCCCTTTGCTTACCAGCAATAGATGTACTTTCTTACATTATACTGTCCCATACATGAAGAATAAAAGACAAAGTGAAATCTAAGGAGCAGCAGGCAAAGTTCAACCCTTTTCCCATGGCAGCTCAGCAGCTAACAGAGGCAACAGTAAAACGCAATGGAGTCTTGCTGTGTTTGATGCCATGAGCACGCTAAGAGCTAAAAAAAGCAACCACTGTTTCCACCAGCGGAGAGTGGTATTGCAAGCCACTGAGAGGACATGCACAGGTCTTGAATTGTCTCTGTACTCATCGCTAGCAACCAAAGCTGCTGAGTGAGTCTGTAAGAGCGGTGGGCAATGTGAGGGTGGGGAATGGGCAGAGGTGGCTCAGGGCTGCTCTGCTTGGGAGCGGTGCCAGGGAAAGGGGGTGGCAAAGCAGGTCACTGAACCAGGCACCGTGGGAAGAGCAGGGAAGTGGTGGCACGTTAGTTAGCCTGAATCTGTACTCTGGTAATGGGAAGTGGAAGCATGGTGGAGCACACACCTCACAGCCCCAAGGGCAACCAGCCCCAAGGTGCTCCTCTGAAGCATCTCAGCATTTCTGCTCCCCACAGGATTTACTCTAGGCACTGTTAGAAATTTGAGTCCTGCTGACGCAAAACCTTTCAGACTAAGTGCAGCTTATTTTATCAAGCACCCTCCCACACACTGGGCATTGCAGCTAAGCTCCTAGTTAGGGGCTTTTTGTCAGCTGCTACTAAATAATTGCGTAATGTCAAGCAAGGCTGATGAGGAAGGGGCCGGGGCCATCCTGGATCACAGACCCTGCCTCTGCAGTGAAAACATCCCCTAGAAGCTTTTCCGCCTGCCTCCCAGGTGCACTGGGACTGTAAAGGGATGAGGCTTTCATACAGGTGTGGCAACTCCAGGCGGGAGAAAAACCCTGTAAGAACAGCACAGAGACACAATAAGGTGACAAAAGCACAATGAGACAATGCACCCTGCTCAGCGCACAGTGCCCCCGTGACGGGATGAGCAGAGCAGCAGTGCTGTGCTGGCTCACGCTTGTACCACACACACCAACCACATCCTCTGCCCGCAGCTGCTCTGCTCTCCCCCGGGCTCCCAGCGGCGTGTGCCCTCACCTGGGACACGGCTCTGCCAACTGGCCCCATTCCCTTGGAAAGTGCTGGGTGCCGTGGCCCATGGCCTTTTCCCAAAATTACTGTTATGCCCGCGGCTTTTCTGGCACCAGTACTGCCAGTGCTCAATGCTGGGGGCAGTGGGGTGGGCACAGGGCAAGGGGAAGAAGCTGGCTCGGTGATTTGGGTGTGCAGGAGCCCTGCTGAATGGGGATAGCCCCATGCTGCCCAGCACCTTGGTCCCCACAGTGTGGGGAGACTTTGTGGGTGCCTGGAAGTGGAGAGCAACGTGCAGTGGGGGCAGCTTGTCCACTGTCTCCACTGGGCTGTCTCCCCACTCTGATTGTACCCAGGGTCATGGGATATGCTCAGGGATCCCCTGGGAAGGGGGATCCTTCAGTCATGTCCTGTCCCCATGTCCCCCCATCTCTGTCCAACAGCTTTACCCTGCCCCTCTGCCACTGTCTGCCCCACAGAGGCTCATTCCACCCTAATGAGAATGAGAGGGACTCTCCCGTCCCATCCTGGTCATCCTCCTTGTCCTGTCCCTCAGTGAGAGAAGGCTCCCTTTCCATCAGGTGTGCACCTCGCCCCAGGTCCTGGGATGGGATGAGCCCACGTGCTGGGGATGCAGGCAGGGGCTGCCCACACTGCTGGGTGCGGCTGCCAAATGTTTTTTTTGGTTCCTCTTTTCACAAACACCAAGGTGCAAACTCAGCAATACCATCTGTGCCGCAGGCAGCCCCAGTCTCCTCCAGGAACGGCTGGGTGGCCGAGACGTGCAGCGTGCGCCGAGAGCCTGCTGGCCACCGGGTCCCCTCTGTGCCCCACTGCCCATGGCACGGCCAGGTCCTGACCTTAGAGTGCACCCCACAAACAAGCTGGAGAGCCACACAACGCTTGGGCAGGGTTGTGTGGGCAGCTTCAGTGAGGGATCTGGGCAAGGGGTAACCACTTCTGGGCAGGAGGTTTAGCCTTCAGCCTCCTCTGTCTCAGGTTTAGCCCTTGAATTTTGAGTGACATTGTGCTGTGGAATGCTCCCTGCAACCACAGGGACACATTTCCCCTGGGAACAGGCGCATGGCCCCTATTGTGCAGTACAGACCCTGCCATCACATCAGCAGCTAAAGATCCTGGTCCCATTCCCAGGCCTCTATCATAGCCAGGGTACTTTATTAGCAGTTTTCTCTAACCTGCATCAGCTCAGACACATCCCCACAGTGGATCAGGACAACATGAATAGATGCTAGTTTAATGATTTTTATCACCTAGCTCTGGCAAGATTGGTTTAGAGAACTACTCCAATTCAGACAGATGCAGAACAAGGCAGGGTCACAACCCCTGCACTCAGACCCCGGACAGTGCAGCCTCCTGAGAGGTCAGATAACATGTGAGCCTGCAGATACCCCCTGACTGACCCTACTGGGATGAACGTGTACAGCCTGCATAGGAAGAGCCCAGCAGAGCCCTGAGGTTAACCTGGCCTTCCAGCACCAAGGAAGCCTGTTAAAGATCAATCCCAGCACGTCATAATAACTCCTGCCCTCCCCGCCAGGTCTCCTGGACACAGAGAGGCTCAGCTCGCAGCTCTCCAGGTCTTTGGTGGGCACCAGCACCCACCTCCACCGCAGCGAGGACATGGCGTCTGCACAGCGTACAAGGAGAGACGTCCACATCGTGCTCCCAGGGGCATTCCCCACTCCGTGGAGGAGCATTACGGCCCCTGCAGAGGCCTTTCCAGCACATCGAGGTTTACTGCCCTCCATCCCCAAACAGAGCTTCACCCCACTATAACCTGACTGATGCCTGAGTATCCTGGGCCTTGGTATGGATATCAGCTCCAGTCCTCGCTGATACAGCTACTGCATCCTGCATGCAGTAAAGGTACACAGCAACCTTGCATCAGGAGAGCAGCGAAACCTTCTCTTGCGGGAAGAGGAGCGATCACCTCTTACCTGTTTCCTCGGATTCTCTGGAGTCAGTGTCAGTGTCAGTGTCAGTATCTTCCTGGTTCTGTGCTGCCAGCAGAGGTGTGAGGAGCAGGAGAAAAGTCCATCGCAGGGCCATGTTTGCGTATGCTCCCAGGGCAGGACTGAGGTCTCAGCCCCACTGGCTGCCTCAGCACACCCGTCTTGATTGCAAGAGGTGCACGCACAGAAAGGAAACAGCCACACAGAGAAATCACATATGGTGCAAGAGGCTTCCTCATTGGAGAGGGAACCTCCGCCAGTGTTAGAGCTGCTTTCATTCTTCCCTTCTGTGCACCAGGGCAGCTTCACGCCCCTTTTGCGATCTTGCTGCTCTCTGATCTCTTCTCTGAGAACCACAGTTTTCAGGCTTCCTGGCAGGAGCAGCTACTAGCCATAGCAGCTGGGTTGCCTCCTCCCCTGGCACAGATCTCAGTGGTCCCAGAAGGGCTTGTGAGCTGTGCTGGTTCATGACTGGGGTGTTGCAGGGAGGTGTAGCTTCCATACTCACACAATAAAGTCAAGCAGAGACTACAACAGTACAATCCTCACCTTGTTACTGTCTGATAAGGACTGTGATAAAAGGACTTCTGAAGGGCACTGGTGCTCTTAATTACCGGGCAGTGCATGCCATAGGCAGGAAAGCCAAGGTTTTGGCAGAAGTAGTTGGGTGCTCAAGATTAGGCTGAAAGCAGATGCTCAGGAACAAGCTGCTGAGAGCCTTGGGGACCTGGAGCCCAAGTGTTGTGTTGGGTTGTGTTGCCATCTCTCCCAATGCTGGGAACGGCACCGACCATGAAGGGGTGAGAAGGTGTCGCAGTCATGGCAGTGGGCAGGGAAGGGGCTGCTGCTGAGACTGGAGGCTGGTGGCACCGGCCACTGCAGCAGATCTGTCCATCAGAGGTGGCCCGTGGCAGGAATTGATGAATTTGTGCTCCAGCTTCCCCAGCCACCCAGCAGCCCTGGATGGATGTGCTTGGCCCGTGTCCCAGATGAAACACAGAGCAGGGAGAAAAACAAGCCCTGATAGCTTTTCAGAGGCTCCGCAGCAGGGCTGCAGTGCCTTGTGATAGCCTTCCTCTTTATTGTGCTCTTCGGCAAGGCCTGGTACTCCCAAGCCTGGGGTCAGGCTCTGCTTTCTGCTGGTGCACATCCTTTGCTTGTTTTGTACACCCTGCAACACTTCTATGCAGCAGCATCAAGCAGGCCAATGTGGGGTGGCCCTCTCCAAATATAGTCTCCCCAGCCAGCCCAAAAATCTGACCCTGAGCAAAATGTGGTACAAGTATTTATTTGTTTGTTTGTTTGTCTGTCTGTCTATCTACTTATCTATTTATTTATTTATTTATCTATTTTATTTAGCTATCTATTTATTTATCCATTTATTTATTTATTTATCTATCTATTTTATTTATTTATCTATCTATTTTATTTATTTATTTATCTATATATTTATTTTTTAATCTTTTTTTTGCAACTGTGGTGCTTGTGGGCAGATACTCCAGCAGTCTTCTACCTCTCAGGGACAGAACTGGAGTCTGGTCGGCTACCTTCCTTGTGCCCTCCTATGCTCGGAAAGGGAGCCTCAGCCTCTTCTCCCTTGTCTGTGTTCCATCTCTTCCTGCAACAGAGCTGGCAGGGCTGGTGGTACCCCCCAGGAATCTGCCTTTTTATTTCCTTTGTTCAGACATGAAGCTCATTCACAGAGAATTTACCATACTCAAACACGCTTGCCCTGGCAGAGGTGCCCTTGGGGCTGCAAACGCACAGCCAGGACCATGACATCGCAGCAAGCACAGCCTGGAAGGTAGTTGTGCTCTGCCTCGGGTGGGAGGTTTGTGGGGTGGGGGTGAGCAACTGCTCTTCTTCCTCCAGCAACAGCAGTAACTCAGACATCACCTCTCCCTGCCCTTTGGTGCTTCAGGGCCTTTCAAGAAAAAAATTAAAGGGCTGTGAAAGGAAACTATATCAGTAGGAATAGGTTAGTCATTTAGAGGATCTTTGGAAAATGAGTAGGGAAATTCCATAAATTAAAGAAGACTAAAAAAAATCACATCCCCGGTCCCTCTGTGTACCACTCCCAGCACGATGGTTGTCAGCTTCTACATTAACAGTAAATGGCATATCCAAAAGCCCTCCATTACCCCATCCGAAACCTTAAGAGCAATGGAGGAAGTGTGGCCCAAGCAGTTGCCAGGAAGCCCTCTCGCTCTTCACACTTCCTCTTGCTCCACATCTGAAAAATCCACCCTTGAGCGTAACCCGGGCTCTTGCACAGAGGATGGAGGGGTGTTGCAAGCCGGTGCTGCCTTCCCCAGAGGATCCTGCAGTTACATGCTTTGGTCACACAAGGCAAACCCAAAGCCACAAAGCCAGCTTTGGCTTGTTTGCAACAAGACAGGAATGCAGGTGTCCCTGGGCTTCTCGGTTTGGCAGGTCCCACTGCCCCCCCCCCCCCAGCCCCGTGTCACCCCACCACAGACTGTGCCCGGCAGACCTGGGCAGGGTGCATTTCAGCAGGGTGTAGGCAGGGAGCCATGCCACACACGTGTCCCATTTTGCCACAAGCCTCTCAGTGCACTGGCATTTGAGCCACATTTTGCAGCAATCTTGCCACCCTGGGGGGACGTCCCTCCTCTGCTGCAAGGGCATGCTCTCCTATCAACCCTACAGGCTTTGTGGCAGGGTTGAAGCTCTTGAAGTGTTTGCAAAAAAGACTGCTAGGCTGTTTCTACAGGCTTTTTTGTTTATTTTACTAAGCTTTTACTTCTTACCTGCCTGATGCTATTTTTTGTCATCTAGACATGACTTCAGCACTTCAAAGTGGCCTCTGTTTCAAATAACCTCTGGTCCTGGTGGTTAGCCCTGCTGGTTCCTGTCTACTTTTGGCACCAGGAGCTCTGAAAGGCTGCCTTAAATCTTTGCAAGTTTGCTGGACAATGTGTGACCATGCTGCTTCTTTTAGCTTCATTTTATCCAAGTTTCCTCATTTCGTGCATTTCCCCTTTCTGAAGCTGAACAAGAGGCCACTGGACTTTTCAATCTTTGATGATTACACAGGGTCATTAAAACAAAGCATGTTTTGGCTGTCACCAGCAGACAGTCCTTTCCTGAGAACGTGATCAGCCCAGTCCTGCACGGAGCTCAGTTCCCCATCTTCCTCCCTGGCCTTGCAGCGCATGTGGAGGAGCTGCACACCAACACCTTGCCTGCCTCTGCCTGGTATTGCAGACCAGCTGTCGGGATGCTTGAAGACCAACAGCAGTAGCACTACACCTTGCCTCTTTCTTTTAGTTGGGATCCCTGTTTCCAAAGGTGTATCTGTGGTGCAAAGAGGTCTGCATCCCTCCTCTAAAGCAGGGATCCCTTTGCTGGGGGCATACTTTGGAGAAAGGGCTCCTGCCTGCAGCTGGAAGTCAGTCCTTGCACCCACACGTGCTACTCCCCTGCATGATGTTTGCACCTGGCTTGCCGGTCCTCACCTAAATCTCCCCCGTGCCATCACCCGTGGACCACGTGCAGCTGCTGGTGCACAGAGACTGGCTCTTGCCCCATGAGCATTTCGGCAAGGGGAAACAGAGGCTCTGGCCTGTGAAAGCTACTCATGGGCAATGCTGCCACTAAAGTTCATCCAGAGGAAACCTCGCGGGTTTCATTGTACAGATGGGGGCACTGAGGCAGAGAAGGAGTCAGTGAAGGGGCTGAGGAAGGAAGATGCTGATTTCAGAACTGGGTCCCAGGACACTGCCACAACGGCAGCGCTGTCCTTCCTTCAGCTGAAAGGGAACTGGGCTGTGTCCCAGTGCCCGGTCCTGCCTCAGCACTCCAGGGCTTCTGCCACGAGCAGGGTCACGCCAGCCAGGGACCTGGGAAGCAGCTCCTGTGACTCCCGGGCTTGAACAGCCACCGTGTAGGGAGCTGGCCTGTCCCCAGGCCATCCTTCAGCTGGGCTAGCCTGAAAGCTGGATATTCAGCTGTTTTGAGAATGCACAAAGCTCTCAGAGGTTAATATGAGCTCATACACGGTTTGATGACCCTAAAGCAGTGGTCACAGGTGTGTCAGAGCCATCTGCAAGCCCATCCCCAGCCTGGCAGCCCCTGCCCTGTATGGCACAGCTGCTGCATGGAGCCTTGTGGGATTTGGGGATGTGTCACTGCCTGCTGCATGCTGTCAGGGTGGATACTGGGCCTGGCTGTGCTCCCTTCCTCCAACATGTGGGCCTTTCCTTCGGACACACACGTTCTGGCTTGCACCCCATGCCCCCTTGCGCAGGTGTCTGCCCCTCTTCTGCCCTCAAGCTCCGTGCTGCCTGCAGCCCTTGCAAGAGAAGGGTTAATCCCAGCGAAGCACGAGCCCATTTTCCACCACACTGACACTTCCCCACTTGCTCAGCTTTTAGTGCCTTGAAAAGCTGCCATGTTAATGCGGTATCTTCTTTGTTCTCTGTCAGATGCTATGCAGCCGTGGTGACGTGACAGTCACGCTCCTCTGCCAGGCCTGATAGTGGCAGCTACCGAGTCTGTTCAACGAGACACCCTCTGCTTTCCCGTGAGTCTTGCTGGCTGGCACAGCATGCCAGTTTGTCCTTAGAAACTGTTCATGACAGACATTCTGGCTCAGCCATAGGGTCCCCCCTCTGAAGACAGCTCTCTCGCTGTGCCTGCAGAACCCCTGGGCCCTGTGATCCCCCTGGGGCTGCCTGTCCTGACTCCACATACACCTCTATACCACGTCTCCCTGTCTGGCCAGACTCCATGTGCATCCCTGTCCCACCTGCCCAAATGTGCATTCCCATCCCAGCCCTCCCAGCTGGCCCCCAAGGCAGCTTGACAATTTGCTGGTGCTCAGGTGGTACCTCCTCCCTTCCCAGTCTCCCACAGCAGCCTCCGAGAACTGCCAGCATTGCTTCAGCCCTGGCAGGCATCCAGGGGCCATGGTCACAGCCTTTGCCCTGAAGATGAGCCAGGTCTTGGTGACCTGGGCAGAGAAGGTCTAAGGGGACGTGCCAGGCCCCCCCAGCACTTGGCACCAGCAGGTCTCTGCCTCTCCGCTGTTGCACGTCAGGTTGTCACATGCATCTGGACTCCCTTTAATCTGCTCCCAGCCACGCTGTCACCCCATGCCTTTACCTCCCCCACTGCGGGGTGGGTCCCACAGTCCCCCCCACTCTGAC